CTTCCTATCTCTTCTTTCAAGGCCTCTTCGTCTGTGTCCTCCCCTGCTCATTCCAGTCATTGTCGATATGGGTCGTCACTGTCGTTGTCCTCCTCGTCGCCCTTGTCCCCACTGTCCCCTTCCTCGAGGAGGAAACGGGCGGGCTGGTCGTAGATGGACGGTACGACTGGTCGAAGGGTCGTCGAGGACCCTTCCATTAATTTGAGTGCTGGGTCCGGCATCCCCTCGGTCACTTGTTCGGGCGATGGGAGGGCTCCTGAGTCGACTATAGCGCGTCCCTCCGTGTGCTCTCGTCTCCTCCAGTTCTCGGCTATAGAGGCTGAAGTGTCGTTGGAACTCGGGATTAAGAAACTGCCGAGCGACCCTGCTGCCCAGGAATCGCTGGAGAGCCCTGTCGGGGACGTGGGCATTGTCGGGTACTCGGAGCCCGTAGGCCCCGAGGACAGAGTCGGCATCTGAGGAGATGGTGTCAGTACGGGCAGGGTATTCGAGGTCGACGGTTCGAGGCTCTTCTGCCCTTCCTTGTCGGATGGCTTCGTTCCAGCTGACGACACTGGCAGGTCCTGTCCATGGGTCGTCCTCTGAGTCAGGCTCCCTGAAGGGAGATCCTGAATTGGTACGGAGCTCATACTCCCTAGGGGAGGCTGACCCCATTCTTTCGATCTCTTCTCTTCTTCTTCGTGCCCTTCCTTGCCTGTCGTATTCTGCCGCCTTGTACTGCTCTCGGGCTTCTTTCCGTACATAGTCGGCGAGCTCTTCCTGAGTTTGCCTAATTTCTTCTTCTCAGTTCTGGTTCTGCTGCTGCTGCTGTACTGCCTGGTCATAATCGAAGGGAACGGTAAGATCCCAGTCTGGGAATATTCGGTGTATAATTCTGTCCCGTCCAGCTCTTCCCCTTTCACTGGCGGTTCCGACCTCAGGCTCGCTCCCCATGTGGAGATGTCGGAAGGGATCTCCTGCTGCAGAGATGGCAATCTCTGCATTTGCATAGTCGGGGTGGATGGTCCTTCCATGCGGGTCGTCGATCCCCAGCCTGCTGACGGATGGGCTGGAGCCAGAGTCAGGCTCGGTGGGGGTCTCGGGGGGGTTCTGGGGGGAGTCGGGACTTTCATGGGGTCTCGTAGCCATCCGAGTGGCATCAAGGGAGTCCCGAGCACGGTTTCCAATCCCTGAGGGAATTGGGGAGGCAGGATGCTCAGGGGAGGTTGCTGGAGTGACGTAGTTGGAGACCTCTGCAGGCTCCTGAACGATGTTCATCGTCCATGGGTTCTGGAACCCTGTGAGAGCAGGGTGGTGGTTTCGGCTGTCTCGTCAGAGATGTTGAGGTCCTTCTTCCTCATGAAGGCTCCTCGAATCCGAGTCGTTATTCCTGGTTTCTGGTATGGGTCCCCCTTGTGGGAAGAAGGACATTCTGGTGGAGGGGGGGATGTCATGGAAAGGAAGGTCGGGGGTTACATTGCATAGAATTTGTTGGATATGCTGGAATGCTTGATAGTGCCTGACTATCCAAGCTGCTACTGATTGTCGTCCTCGGCAAAGGGTGATGATGGCTAGAAGTCCGAGTAAAGTTCCGATGATGGAAGTGATAAGCTCGAAGAAGTCATGATTCAGGTCTGCGGTTGTCACTGGAGGCATTCAGTTTCTCAGCACAATTGGGCTTGAGAAAGGGAAGGAGAAGCTTCGAGCTAATTGTTTGACCTCAGTTGCACGTGACTAATAACATGTGATAAATGATCGCTACCTCGTATTTGGGTATAACGATCAAGTCCACGGATATCAATGGAAGTGCTGTCAAGGCTTTTTAAGACAAGTAGGCTCGAGAGTGAAAGTGGTATAGATAAACTTTAGCTTGAAGCTGGGGATTACCAGCGAGAGCTGACCTCCTTAAATACTACTGGATAATGTCTAAATATATACAACTACTTATTGTGTGTTGCTGTGTCCTTTGTGCCCATTGTCCTAGAGCATTACTACCATACATAAAAGGTTCGTTGTGTGTTGTCGAGCACTGTCCCTTTGTCGAAAGACAATGGCGGATATGGCTAGTGGTGCTGACTAGATCCCCACGATCCTAAACGCTTGTCTTAGCGCTGTGACTAAGCACAGATAGGGGTTTAAAGTGAGAAAAGTAGTAAAAATCGTAACATTCTCCCCTTCTTGTCTCAGATGACTTTTCAACAGAATTTCTCAACTTCTTGATCACATATCTTCAACTGTGCAGCCAAATGCACACCATAGCTTTACTTGTTGGAATCTGTGAGAGAATTCAAGCCATCCAGCCATCCAGCATGCTAAGTAAGGAAAGAATCCGAGGGAAATTAGAGGAATTAGGTAGAAACTACCAGAAAAGGAGTAGTCTAGTATAAATATGAGAAGTCAATGAGGAAACTCCTCAAGAGTTTGTAATCCAAAGACTAAAGATCTTACAAGCACATACTCTGGATACAGTCCAAATCTCAACATTACTAACTCTCATGTATCCTGACCACAAAACACAATGACTATGCCAATTTATTTTTGTTTATGAGAAAATCACTCTGCCCCCCAACATCTCAACATACAAGCCTCTTTCTGATGACCTTTCAAGTCCATCAGCCAGTGGGATGGATGGTTCTGAGATGGTCATCATACTCCATGTGCATTTCTTTTTCTCTAGATGTCTTTCCACATGCTTAGTGAATATTGAAGATAGGACTGACAAAGCCTCAGTACAGGGAGATTATTCTCCCTTCACAGCAAATCTTGCTCCAAGATAACAAAACCAGATCTCAATATTTTTGAAAGGTTATCACTTAATGTTCAATTACATCCAAATATTCACTTTGCATGGAAAAATAAGTCATCAAAGGGCTGCTGCATCCATATTTGTTAAGCCAGCCTCATCAAAAGGTGATTACTCAGAATGCCTGGCTTTGCACATGCTCAAACATATAACAGAAAAATGTGCAAAGCCACAAAGGTTCAATAATAATGGCAAACCAAATATGCTCATGTGTTTCCATCAGCTTCAGAGATAGATTCCAAGTTGTCAGTGTACTCAATATTATTCAGGATTTACAGATAGATAATATAACCACTGCCTCAGGGGAGATGGAGGCCTAGCCACTAGCACCACAACATGACAGTTGAGTAGATGATTTCAGGTACAATCCTTTGACAAAGGTTGGATCAGACTTCCAAGGGTGGCTTACTGAGCCAAACTTAGACCTGCATGAAAAAAGCTGTTTCAAATCAGTTAAATGTTTTATCTTTCAGACAGTCATCTCACAAGAGTTAGGAGGCCTCACTGTACCAAACCATCATCACTCTGAGAGTCTCCTCTCATCAGCATCCTCATTGTGAGTACTTAAGCACTTGTTTCCAAATCATATCTATTCAAATATTTGACATAGCATGGTCACTCAAACAAGGCAAATGAACCAAGAGCTTGAGGCAGCATTGACATTGACAACACTCCCCAATGAACTCCTATACATGATATTTGACCACATCAGGAAGAGGGACTTGGTAGCTCTCACATGCCTTTCTTGAAGACTGAATGCTGTAGCAAGCCATCAATTGCTTGGTCCATGGCATGAAATCCTGAACAAGTACAGCACATTGGGGTGGTTTTGCTCCAGTGCTTCTAGTGACTTCTCTAGCCTATGCTACCTTCAGCTTTCCTACAAAAACCATACATCCCATCAATAACCCTGAAGTTCACCTCACACTTCATGGCAGACCTTGACAAATTCCTATGATACCAGAGGAATATCCCCCAAAAACTACATCCTAGCCTGCACATTTACTTCCCACTTACATGGAGTAGCATGGGTTCTGAGCACTGTGCAGGATACTTTCACACATTCTGTGCAAGGCTTGTCAGGTTACAATGTGTGTCCTTCAGGAACGGCATTAGCTGAGGATGTTCCACCTCAATCAACCCACCACTATTCAACCCACCACTATTCACCACTCTGACTTCCATGAACATCTCTCATGGACCTGCATTCTTCATGGACTGGCTCATCTGCTCAGCCCATGCATCACCCCTTGAATCATTGGCACTAGAACATAGTTATAAAGAAGAGGGTGGTTTCATTGTGCAACACCTCCCTCACCTTAAATGAGTAGCATTCAGATCATGCTCGTTTACAGCGGAACAGTTATCTTTGTTTTTTTCCCATCATACATCAATAACAGATTTGACGTTCTTCTATAGTAAAGTCAACCCACCACATCCGTATTTACATGCTGCTCACATAAAACTTCCACATCTGCATACTATCACTATAGGCATCCAAAATTTGGTGAATATGCTGACCTCTATGAGTCCAAAGTCCCTCCCCAGCCTAAAATCAGTCATGATACTTGGCTGCCATCCATGGGTTTGCACTCACAAATTTTGCCGGAACACCACACTTAAGCAACCAGATATTCATCGTGTTCTATATTGGATATCACGATTACCGAATATGTCTTGTGTGCAGCTCCCCTTCGAATATGAATGGGAAACTATTTCAGGACTCACTTTACCAGGTGTTACCAAAATGGTGGCAATGAAAGATTCGGTATATTCGAACTTGGAGAGGATCACGCCGATTTCAGTGCTCTTTCTAAATGTGAGGGAGTTCGAGGTGATGCGGGTATGGGTGGAGGACAGAACGTTGATGAGAGAGATAAATGAGCGCTGGCCAGGGCTACGATGCGTGACGTTTACTGCAAAATGAACAGGATACTTCGGGACAATTCTAGTTACCTATGTCACAATTTCTTGAGTTACTTTTCTTAACCATGTTTTCTAAACGCTTAATCTATGGTCTTAACTGATCTTTTGTGAGCGGTGCACTCTATCGTGTCTGCCCACAATACGTGTGTCTAGTAGGGTGATCCTTGCTGCCATACCCATGACGAAAGGTTGACAATGTGCGATCAAGTTACAATCACTTAAAAATATTTCTCACTGGAAATACGAAACGTATTCCCTGAATTTCTGGGCTAGATTGCGCACCACAATAGCTTCACTGACTATCGTCATGGCGAAGAAAATCGGGCTGCATCAGATCACCGATGGTTCCAATTTTGAGAGTGATGGTGACTCCTAGACGGAGAGAAGTAAAGCTTCTAATACGATAGCGTACCATACCGGCAGGCCCCTGTGACAAGGCCAGCAAGTTCTGCTACATCACCTTGCATGGGTATGATTAAGGACTGAATAAAGGATAGACGGCGAGTGTGAAGAGACCCCTGTGATCAATCAGCTCAAATTTGTTGTTGATATTGATTTAAAAAAAGTAATGACATAGCATGAGATATTCCTTTCGAGTGACTCATCACGACATTGGAACGGTGTTTGAGATGGACATGAGGAATCTTGAACTCGCTAATCCCGGCCTTGAGGTACTTGATGCTAGCGAGAAGCTCCATGAGGTCGAGGATCCCGGGAGAAGCAAATGGAGAATCCTACGAAACAGGTTAGAAAGCGAAAAAGATATATTTTTGGTCGATCGAGGCCAGTTGAATGGACGGATGATAAAAATAAATCTAATGTTACACCATAAATCTTGGTGTCGAGAGACAGGTCGGTGCTGGCCTCCAAAGCTTTGAGGAACGAATCGAGCGCGTACAGGAAAAGTGGTTAGCTCATTCAAAACCTACATACGAGAGGTACGTGAGACGAAGACAATGATAGGAACGGCTTGAACTCGGCGCTCTCGAATTCAGAGCTCCGAGTTCAAGGAAGGAATCCTGCAGAGCAAGTTAGAAAGTGAAAGAGAAGAGTCTGCATGCAAGGGCCTACCTCGCATTCGTTGAGGACATTTGTTGGACGGCACCACAGAGTAGAACTTGTCGATGGCCCCTCTTTGAATCGCCAACGGAGCGTGCTTGATAACGACGACATAGTCAGGGTGCTCGCCGTTGTCGGCATCAGGAATCGCCAGTTCGCGTTGAGCGTATCTTCCACTTGTTGATCTCCTGGGTCCTCTACAGCAAAGTGGTTGCTAAGAGCAATGGAGACAATGGCGGGATACCATCGTCGACGGCCAAGACAGATTTGAGTTCGACTTGTCTTGTGTCATAGGTGGGTGGTACTGCAGTCGTAGGATACACTGAATGGTAGCGACATGGTATATGGTAAAAGAATCCAGAGAACTTGTTCCACCCTGGCTTGATGAGAATCACGCATTTTAATACGCGTTGAGTGGTCCGTGCTCACGCAATGGGCGGGGAACTGGCGTGTTTGAACTGGGGCGCGGTACGTCAATTTCACCACGTGACGTCCAGGGATAGTTGACGTCAATGGACTCCTTTTTTGGAAGCGTATGTAAGCGACGGAATCTTGACGTACGCGACTATCGACTTTGTTTCCTAACTGTTCATGACGTGAAATTTGACCACTCCAGGTTACTCTCAGTTCTTCAGAGTTCTAAAGAATTGAATCCCAAGATGACGCAGGGAAGGGTGGGCATTATCCTACGTGGCTAGTTATTTAACGAGTGCTTATTGACAGCACCAGGGACTTTACAGGTTGCTTCAGGACTCATGGCTCATATCAATACCGGCCTCGCCCTTTCAACCTACTATCACCTCTTTATCACAAACGACCCTCCCTCTGATGCCGATGAAAAAGGTATTCGGTCTTTGCTAGTTGAAGCAGAAGCGCAGTGCGCTCTCCTCGAATCCGGACTTGACCAGGACGATCCAAATATCGTGGTGAGATGTGACCAGCTCCGCATATATACTACCGCTCTTAGATCTGCCATCTCCCCGCTCCGGTGTGTACCGTCAGAAATCCTAATAGAAATCTTTCTGGTGAAAGGCAGATGGGATTCACCGTACTATGACATCCTAGACGAGCATACGGGACCATGGCTCATTGCAAAAGTTTGCAGGAGATGGCGGGATATAGCTTTATCTTGTCCCTAGCTGTGGTCATCGTTTTCGCTGCTCAAGGACTACGACAGAATGCAATACTACCCCGGGAATCAAGGCTATCGTGGAATTCCCGGCGCGGTCCTTAACCTCGATGAGCTCTCGGAACAATCCTCTGAGGATCTCGTAAAAATGGCGGAGAATGCTCTCAAACGTTCCGCAACCGCTCTGTTGACCGTTTATCTCGTTCTTCTACTATCAACAGAACGGGACGATAGAGAATGCTTAGATCGGGTGTTAGCTGTCATAGTTCGGCATTCACAACGATGGAAGGACGTAACGATCTTGGCAGAGGAAAGTGTCATATTCTCCCTCTCCCAAATACACGGTAATCTCCCATCATTGAACAAACTGCGACTTCACTATTTGACCAACACTGGACGTGTTTTCTCTGGATTAGAAATTGCGCCTCGGCTTCGCGATGTCACATTAGAGAATCTGGGTCTTCCTAGATACCTACCACTTCCTCAGTTCACAAGTTTATCATTTGTGGGATCAGATTTCCATGATGTACCGCCCGAAGACCTTTATTCTGTGTTCCAGAATGCTAGCGGTCTGGAGGAGTTTCACTGGTCCAAGTCACCATTCCCTGTGCGCTACGAGACGGAGTGGGACACCACTCCTGATACCCCGCTCATCCTTTCGCGGCTGAGAGTCCTCGATCTTTGTATTTCAGATGCAGGACTTTTCAACAGAATCACACTCCCCGCATTAAAGAAGCTGGAATGGAAAACATTTTTGCAATTTCCTCATTGCGATGGTCTGGAGCATGATGAATCCTACCCGGCACTGCGTCGACTTATCACACGTTCTAATGGGCTTCAGTCCCTGCGGACCGTTGTGCTCAATCTCACAACTCTTCGACCACAGATATATGGTTTGCTGGACGACATTCCAGGGGTCGCTGAACTGCATATTGTCAATGACATTAACAGGGCTTCCTATGAGGGCGAGCGGTTCATTGTTCCCCTTTTCAATGCGTTATCCTATGGCAGAGGTAGCCTCCCAATATTGTCACGGCTGGAAACCTTTAAAATTAACGCTTGGGTTAAAATAATATGCGAGACTTCAGAGGCCGGTATCACTATGGTGAAGTCGGGATGGAGGGCAGGGACCGATCTGGGTAGCTGCAAGCTTAGTGCTGTTGAATTGTCTTGCATATTTCTGTCGGAAAAGTTCAGAAAGTGCCTAATGGATATGCGCAGCGAAGGGCTGTCCGTGTCAGGAAGAAGTATTTGTGAGCCAATCTCTATCTCACGCTGATTGCTCACATTCATCGCCAAGAACAGAAATGTATATCCTGTCTGGATCCTCCTATATGTAATCGGTAACCAAAATCTTTCTGGGAGTCTAAAGTGTTCCATGGGTGACCTGGTAAATCCCGCCCGGCTCCCTTCCCCTCGGACTTGAATTGGGTCTCCCGCTAGTCAACGACATTCAGACGGCTGCTGAGCTATATATTGGCATCGAGTTTGACCTACTTGCTCCTGACGATGTTGGCGATGACTGACAAGAGCGTCATTTGACTGATACTGATACTGATCCCATATCCAGGAGTTTTCATTAGTAACGGGGAATACATTACTGTATTTCTGTCCCGTCTGCTCCACCATCTGATCTGCCTCCATGGTACCCATGGCTACTGAGTGCGTATCGTATTGAATGCTTGAATCACGCACAGCCATTATAAGATGGTCATGATAGGTCGTCAGGGCACTCACGACGACTTCTAGGCCCCCTATTCACACTAGAGATGGCGCTAAACATTTTGAGCTTGGTGGACGACCCGAAGACGCTAGGAAGGGCGTCACAACTCAGCCGACATTGGGGGAAGCTCGTGGAGGATGAGGCTGTGTGGAGGAGGATGTGTAGGCTTTGGGAGTTTGGGTCCCCCGTGCAGAGAGCTTTTCTGGATGATGGGGATGACGATGATGATATATGGGGGCAGGGAAGGAAAAAGCAGAGACATCGTTTCAGCACGTTGCTCTTTTCCTACAAATCCCATTTCAAGTACTCGTACTCGACCAGTGAGTTCGTCTTCCCCTCTCATTCACTGCACAGCTCATAATCATCTAGTGATGAACTGGCGCTATGGCGGCCGCCTGCTTCGTGCCCACCGTGTGCCGGTAGTCAATCCAACGAACGGCGTTATCACCTCCATCGCCTTGGATGATGATTGGGTGGTGGTCGGACTCGCAAATTCGCGAATACATGTGTTCAGTACTTGGACGGGTGTTTTGGCTCGAACTCTTGTGGGCCACGAATCCGACATTTGGGGGGTGCACTTGGTCAGTTGCGGAGGGAGAAGGAGAAAGAGGGAAGAGAGCCTGGGGATGGAGGAGGATGGCGAGGAGTGGAATATTCCTCATTCGCTGCGAGTTGCCCTCGGTTTAGAGGGCGAAATCGACAAGGAGGATAGCGACGACGACGACGACACTAAGAACCCCCATTTCGGGGTTTGTGGTGCGTCTGAAGGATGGGGCCAGCCAAACTCTCTCGTCGTCAGCGGCGGCTGCGACAAGGTTATACGGGTCCGGATACTGCATATACGTCTTGTATGGACATACGTCGACGATACGGTGCATCGATGCCGCAGAATCGACCGATTGCAGTTAGTGGGCGAGTGATCACATTCTCACTATCGTCATACAGTGTGCTGCACCGTATCTCTGCGCACGATTCGAGCGTGACGAGTTTGTAGTTCGATAGACGGTGGCTCGTGATGGGCGGGAATGACGAGCGGGCGAAGTTGTTTGAGACTGATATGGGGATCCATGTGAGAGATCTGACTGAGGCGAGTGAGAGTGTGTGGAAGGTGGCGTACGGGAGGGATAGGGAGACGCTTGCGGTTATGTGTCGGAGGGCGGGGAAGACTGTTATGGAGATTTGGAGTATGAAGCCTGGGGAGGACGTTCAGATTTTTGCGACAGAATTGACAAAAAATGTGACTCTGACCACGTACTATTATTACTCAATGGTGTCATGCTCTGTATTCCTCCCAGCGCATAACGTTCACTCTTTAGAAGATTAATAATGATTGCCCAGTATTGGGACAAGGAGCGGCGGCACGTGACATTCGTCAATCCATGGGTAAAAGGAGAAACTTGGTAACCGTATCCTACATGGCGAACGTTGTGATCGAACTCCATGGGCCATATAACCAACTGAACTAGTCGGCCACTAGACCAAGCTTAGTACGACTTAGATCGCCGTTTACTATGGGAGAGATCTAACCGAAGCCTTTTTGAAAATCGAGATCTTTGGGTGGGTTATTGGTCCTGCCATTCCCGTATTTGATGTCGACAGAACGCTGCGTAGCGGCGTTCAGGCAAAATCTATCGTGCTACAGCACCCGGCGTATCGGACTCGAAGCCATACCAAGATGATGTTATTGACATTGTCAGCGCTTTATTTGGGAGCGCGGCAGCTAGTCCTGTATCATATTCATAGAAGATTGCGTCATGATAGCATCTTGATATGACCGATGGGCGCTATTCCAAGAAAGCGGTGGGTTATATCAGCCTGGGAGTAAGTAGTGGAGGGGTCAGTGGAACACTAGGGGGCATTGTTATCGCCGATATGAGGCGGACGAATTTGTTTCGTGCCGCGGAGGGATAATCTTCAAGGGATTATCCATCAATATCAATGCGGAACTTATTCCGGGGCAACCAACACGTTTGAAAGACGGATGAACTAGATCAGGTGATGTCCATGAAACACAGGCCTATTGACGTGTCATCGTTTTGCAATCTGACAGTCTTCGAGCCCAACCGTTACATTGTCTCGATAGTAAATTTAAACCTGCCGGTGGAGTGAGTAGAGTCGGAAACGTACCGATTCATTCAGAGCGGAACAAGTTCAAAGAGGGCTACAGTTTGCATGAGGGGGCTCAAGGGTTCTGAAGTTTGAGCGGTACAATGTCGCTACCATCGGACCAGAAGTCTATAAAAAGCGCCGTGTGGCTGTGTATGGCGCCGGGTCCCGTTCACGTGACCCAATTTGCCTGCGTGTTACGCAGCGCAGCATCTCCTGCCTTTTCCAATCAACCTTTCCCATCCACCACGATGATTTTGCGACAACGGGTCGCATACCTTTTTCTCTCCTTATTCGGGCTGCTTGCCCTCTCTGTGCTGGCTGCCGACCCTACCCACTCGATAACCTCTTTCCAAAACCTCCCAGGACGACTATTTTTCTTCGATGATACCGAGGTATGTAGGCGCTCTCGCGGTGCGAGGAAGGTGACTGATGACGGGCGTTATTTTGTGCAGACGGCAATATATTTTGACCCTGTGGATGGAAACGTTTACGTTACGCAGGACGAGGGCAAATCATGGAATATAGCGGCCGACATACCGAAGGGAGAGGCGACGATGGTTATCGAGCATCCTTTTGACAACCAATATGTGAGTACGATTTCTCTGCTGCTTCGGTAACGAAGAAGAAAACTCGCTAACGTTTCGTCAAGGCCTTCGTATTGACTCGGGGGACACGGCATTACCGTACGGAAGACAGAGGCAAGACATGGCGCGCCTTCGACATGCCCATTCCGCCAGCCCTTGTCTCGAAGCCGCTTTCTTTCCATTCAGACCCCAGGAAATACGGATATATTCTGTACCAAGGGACGTCCTGCGAAAGGATCGGGTGGGGGAACGTTTGTCACGATGAGGTGCGTGTTTTTTTTACCTTGTTTTCGCCTTTACTTACTTCGTATGCAGACATATTATACAAAAGAAGCATTCAGTGACGAATCCAAGCTCTTACTTATCGAGACTTCCCGATGTCAGTTCGCCCACAGCACCGCTGATTTCAAGCACGAGGGCCCTCCGGACCTTATCTACTGCGTAGCATTCGACTCTTCATCCCTTAGTGGCGCCCACACTCTGTCCTCCAGTAAACTGTTCTCAAGTACTGACTTTTTCAATGGGGACATTCGTGTAGAGCAAATGGGCATCGGCAACAACGCAAAGGGCGTCATTGCATTTGCCATCGTATCCAAGTTTGCTGTCGTGGCACTCAAGGACCTGTCTTCCGGAAGCAACGGAGACATGCTGCTGTACGTCACTGTGGATACAAAGACGTGGGCAAAAGCACAGTTCCCGCATGCGTCATCCGCGCAGCTTAGGGAAAATGCATATACAATCGTCGAGTCTACAACGCATTCATTGGCGATTGATGTGGTACTACAGGATCAAGGAAAGATCGGGACACTCTTCGTGAGCAACTCGAACGGGACGTTCTTTGTGGAGAGTTTGAAGGATACCAACCGGAATGAGGCAGGATTCGTCGACTACGAGCGGCTGTACGGTGTTGAAGGTGTTGGTCTCGCGAACGTTGTCGCGAATGCAAACCTCGTGGAGGGTAGCGGTGCAAAGAAGCTGCTCAAGACGCTTATCACGTTTGACGATGGTCGGTCGTGGGCCCCCGTTCGAGCTCCATCTACCAACGTCGAGGGCCAAAGCGTTAACTGCAATCCGGATGATACCAGCAGCTGTTCACTTCATCTGCACTCTGTCACCACCCCTCACAACTTTGGTCGCATCTTCTCCTCTCCCGCTCCAGGGCTCATGATGGGAGTTGGAAGCATCGGAGAGACGTTGAGAGACTACGAGGACTGTGACACGTTCCTCAGCACGGACGCTGGCGTGACCTGGAAGATGGTCCGTCACGACGCTAACAAATACGAGTTCGGTGATTCCGGAAGCGTAATCGTTGCCGTAAACGACGAAGATGGAATAGATTCGGTCTCCTACTCCACTGATTTCGGACAGACTTGGTTAGTACCTTATCGTTTGTCACTACCCTGTGCTCATATAACCCTAACAGGAAGGAGTACAATTTTGGTGTCCGCCTTCGAGCACGCGCGCTGACGACCGTTTCGGATTCGACCTCGCAAAAGTTCCTTCTTGTGGGTCAGGTCGCAAGGAAGGACCAGAGTCAGAGTATTGGACGATTCGTGGTTCTCTTCCTTGACTTTGCAGATACGCGCTCGAGGAAGTGCGAGTCTGGTGACTTCGAGGAGTGGTATGCGAGGCCTGCTCAGAGTGAGTGTTTGATGGGACACAAGGTAAGATTATCTCGTATCCTTCCAGGGGTCATCGTCAATTGATATCTGGTCACAGCAATGGTACAGGCGTAGAAAGATGGGCGCAGACTGTTATGTTGGGGAAAAGTTTACCGACCCCGTCGAGCATGAGGAGAACTGCGCTTGTGTGGATGCGGATTATGAATGGTATGTATCACCTTCCTTGCTATCCGTCGACTGGTCCGATTGATATCTGGTTCAGCGACTTCAATTTTGTTCGCAATGGCGATCAGTGTGTGCCGACTGGTCCTGAACCTATTGCAGCTGGTACTTGTCCCAAACCAAGCATGACGTATAAGGGCTCGTCCGGGTGGAGGAAGATTCCTGGAAATACGTGTACGGGCAGCACGAAGGATGCGCTGATCGATAAACCGTGTTCTTCTGGTAGGTGGACATTGGCTAGTTTTCTGGGTATCGCTGAGTGTAATGTGGCGTAGCTCAACCTCAGGAGGGTGAAGTTATCCATCAGACAGTCTGTCTCCTTTTGCGCTGCCGCTTTGATCTTTACTCATGAATCTGTAGTTTGAATTCCCTGCAGCTATCGTCCAGCACTCGTACTTCAAAGACTCCACAGTATGTATACTTCATGTACTGTCCGTTGGCGGGTCTCAGTTGTTCGTTTGCTTCTACAGACAATTATTGTTAGGTTGGAAGACAACACAATCTGGCAATCAAGCAACGAAGGCTACACGTGGAATCAGCTATATCCCGAGGAGTCATTCTTGGCGTTCTACCTCCATCCTTATAGCGCAGATCGCGCCTACCTTATTACGAGCGGTACCAGGTACTACACTACCACCGATACCGGGCGCTCCTGGAACGCTCTCAACGCACCGACACCACCCAATACCTTCCGCGCCCAGGTCCTCCGCTTTCAACCCGATTCGGACAAACTCATCTGGACCGGGAACAGGAACTGCGAGAACGTCTTCGACGACTGTCACGCCGAAGCACAGTATACTCGTAATAACGGACGCAACTGGGAATTCGTGGAGAGTTATGTCGTCAACTGTGCCTGGGCGACTGATACGAAGCTCAACGCTGATCCGACGGAGATCATCTGCGAGTCCTATCAGACGAAGGGCGGATCGCAGAGGTTTTTCCAGAGTACTAATCCATTGGAATTGGTCGAGGGACAGCAGTATTTCAAGAAGAAGAAGAAGCTATTTAACGAAGTTGTTGGGTTTGCCAAGTTTTCAGAGTTCTTGGTCGTAGCTGAGGTAAACCTTTCGAGGCGATGTTTTGTGATGATTTTGACTGATCATCATGTAGCTGTTACCTGCGCGTCGTTCCTTAGATCTGCAGGTGTCGCTTGATGGTGTCAACTTTGCCACTGGCCTGTTCCCGCCGAGTATGCACCCGGAGGCCCATGTACGTGCACCACGGCGTTGTGTCATTCACTTTGCTAACGTTTGATTTAGGCTTACACCGTCTTGGAATCTTCGACTGGGTCACTTTTCTTGCACATGACGATTTCCGAGCCGCCAAGTCCATATTGGGGTACTATCCTAAAGTCCAACTCTAACGGAACATACTTTGGTATCGCCCTGGAAAATGTGAACCGTGATGATCGCGGATTCGTCGATTTCGAAAAGATAATTGGTCTCGATGGAATTGCTCTCGTGAACGTGGTGTCCAACACGCAACACGCCACTGTCAATGGCAAGAAAGAGCTACAGTCGAGGATTACCCATAACGATGGTACGTGATCGTAGCATGATCGTGTAATCGCTAACGGTTCTCGTTGTAGGGAGTACGTGGAAACCACTCCCGCCTCCGCCGTTGGATTCGCAAGGAAACAAATACGAGTGTGACACCACGGTTCGCTTCTTCTGTTCGGTAACTTCCCTGTCATTATTAACATGTTAGTCTAGAACTGCGCTCTTCATGTACATGGATACACCGAACGCACAGATCCGCGGGCGACGTACAGTAGCCCCTCTATCGTAGGACTGATCATGGCTGTCGGCAACGTTGGAGAATCTCTCGCGCCCTATATCCAGAGTGACACCTTCCTCAGTCGAGATGCCGGGTTTACTTGGGAGGAGGTGCACAAGGATGCGCATCTCTGGGAGTTTGGAGACTCTGGGTCTCTTCTGATTATGGCGAACGATGAAGAGCCCACGGATCATGTACTGTTCAGCACTGACGAAGGCAAGAACTGGAGGGAGTATCGGTTCTCGCAGGATAAGATGAGAGTGACGTCCATTGTTACTGTTCCTGCCGATACGAGCCGGAGGTTCATTCTCTTGGCGCAGTATCCGCGCTCGTTGACGTCTGTTGTGGTACATCTGGATTTCAGTGCGTTGACGAGGACGCCTTGTGAGTTTTTCTGCTTGGTGGTAGCGACTGTGATTAATGTGACGTTCAGGTCAACTGAGCGTCGAGGATCCTGGGCATGATGATTTCGAACTCTGGAGCCCAAGTGAAGAACGATCGGAGAAATGCTTGTTTGGCCGTCAGGTAGGAAAGAACATTCTGCTCTTGCTGCTGAAGGTGCCGATGATGATTTATGTCAGACACTGTACCACCGCCGAGTACGCGATACGAACTGTGTAGTGGGTAGTCAGCCGAAAGCCAGCGCTCAGGTGGTGAGCAACTGTGCATGCACGCAGACTGATTTCGAGTGGTCAGTTATACCTTTCCTCCTCCTTGTACTCTTCTCATGTCCTATATAGTGAGTTTAACTATGTCAAGAACACCAATGACGAATGTGTATTGGTGCCTGGAACGACGCCTCTCCCTGACGACGACTCGTGCAAGAACGACGAGGAGTTTTGGTACGAGAGGACTGCTTATCGGAAGATTCCTTACTCGAGCTGTGAGGACGGGCTCAGACCGGATCGGGGAACGAGGCATTCATGTCCCGGATTCAGAGCACATGGACCTCTCTTCTGGTGGTTCATCATACTGATTCCGTTCATGTTCACCGCGCTTGTCGGATACTGGTACTACCGTCGGAGCGGAATGGCGAGAGGGTATGTTTGTTGTTTGTTCCTCCACTGTCTTATTGCTTACTCTGTTGCAGACAAATCCGTCTTCCTGGGGATGGTGGACCGTATTACGGCGGGAGCAGGGGTGGTGTTATGGATACCCTTGCGTCTGTTCCGTGGTTTGTCGTTGGGATGGCGGGGATTGCATGGGAGTGGGTTGCCTCGCATGTCGAGTCGGCGGGTACTGCTTTCCGTACACGGAGAGGCTATAGGAATGTTCCCGTTGATGAAGATGCGCAGATTCTGAGATTTGAAGATGAGAGTTGAACTGTCATTCTAGTGTATGCTTAGATTTATGCTTTCTTTTTTAAAAAATTTATTTAGTACACTACTAGTCCTAGTCAGTGGTCAACTTGTATCATACTATCGAGGGCTTGATGGGCGTATGCAGTTGTCATTAGTACCTTGGTTGCACAATTACAATCTTTACTTAATGGTTAAACTTATGCTTGTTAGCTATTAGTCTATCAGTTTCTGTAGGTGTGTTGCATAAAATGTAATCGTGATATCGTTGTGCAAATGCGAACGCGAAGAGTGGGTCCTGCAAATGACAGACAGCATGAAAATAAGGGCCAGAAGCCTTTTTCGGAGCTGCTTTTCTGGTTTTTGAACTAGGTGCGAAGGAAGCTGCATCCTCGACCGGTGTTTGGACAATGTCTTCGCGATCAAAGTTCGACCTCGGCGTATCTACCTAGCGGAAATGTGGTACCTTCCCGTGTGTATGTTCTTGGCGTCTTGTTATTCTTATCCTCCGTCCCTTCATTTGGTTTCTTGTCTTATTTTCGGGCCGGGACGACATGGGAGGATTTGAGGTTTGTGAGCATCGGGGTAGAATTTATTAACCTTGTGGTGGGGATCGAGGATTCGATACATATGAACGGAGTTGAATGTGACAGGCTCAGTGATCTTTTTACTCGAGGTCTGTTTGTGCTCATGGTTCTCGAAGGGTTATGCCGCCGGTGTTAGTTATTACCGATAGCAGAATCCTGGTGGGGAAATATTGCGTAAGCATGGTCGTGAAAAATGACCAATGTCCCTATTCTTGTCTTCCGGTTCATATATGACTCTCCCGTGTTAAGTTTCGAGTTAAAATAGCATTCAAGAACACACCCACACCCACACTCACACTCTCTCTGAGGCTACGACCATCTGCTTTTACCTGCTTCCGTTGAAACAAGGCAACCAACCACTCGTCCAAAGCCCACTGAAATAATCCCAAGCCGGTAAAGAACTGCTCTTGCGAAATCGGGCTGTAGAATCGCACAGTTTTGAAATTAGAATGGTTGGCATCGGCATCCGGTACGAGGAGAACGCTCATGTCGGAAACGTGAAGAGTCCGAAGGAGGTTCCTTCAGGTGGGTATTACAGCTAAAAAAAAAAAAAGAGCGTTAGACCACCCATTTGAGGCGTCATATTCGTTCTCGTAAGCGGCATCTCACCTCCTTGTGATGTAGATTGATCTCATCTCGACAGACACCAACGAACGTAGTCACCAATGCGATGTAGGCGAAGTCACCTAGACGATTCTTCGTCGTACAGACGCTCATCATCATTGCAGCTGTGTAGTGTTCAATTTACCAGAAGAGATGTTCTCTCGCGACACAAGAAATCCTGTAGAGATCAGTGAGTATTGTTTTTCAAGCCAACTACGCGGACGCTGACTTCAGGCGGAAGTATGACATCCAGTCGTTCGAGACAGAAGTCTTGTCAGGTTTGTCACCGATTTAGTACCTGTTCTTGCGCAGGTCGACGGTTCCATAGGCATGTGCCGCCGCCAAAGTTAAATGTGATCTCCAGTACCCATGCTCGAGATGTGCCTCACGCTAAGGACCATGCATCTTCCTTAATGATCCTGCCGTTTCCTGAGAGAAAAGGCGTGATGCCAAGGAGCGTAGTATGAACTCCAGTGCGGACTACCGTCAAGGCTCGGCCGAGACTGTTTCTGATTCTTACCTTTCTGATTCTTGCCTTTGTTCAACTTCCTTCTCGACCTCAGACGACACTTTGTCGCCTACATTTCGCACCTCGCCAACCATTCCTGACACCAAAGAACCCTGGTTGCGGGGAAGCGGTCTGGAAAAAATTTCACGCCGATTCGCACCCTTCTTGTTCATCCTCGACCTCCAACAAAAAGTACACGGATTTTTCGTGGGTGGGCTCAGACGATGGGTCTGGAGATGACGATAGTTATTACACTTCTGTCCCGCATTCCGCACTGGTTCTTCATTGTGTGTCGACTAACACCTCTCCCCCACTTCCATACTTAGATGCTATACGTGTTAGTATGTATGACATCGTTAGCGCGACGACTACCTTGTAAATAAACCATAAATCATTTTGTGCACATTTCCGTTCTTTCTTCAGTTACTAAGAATACCGAAGATCCTTCCAGACAGCAAATAACCGGTATATAGGTAGCTATATCTTCTTTCACGTGGTACCCTTGCGCAGTAAGATAGCTCAATACCGGCGACAAAATATTCCTAAATCTCGTTACAGTCTAGTTTCACAAGGGCGTCCATTTTCGATAAACTGAGTGCGAAAGTGTCCCAGACAGCGGTCAACATACGTCGAGAACAGATGTTTACAGAATTGGAATGATGGAACATATGTCGATCGTAGTCACTGACGGCTGTTGCGCCCCACCTTTGGCGGAAAAACACTAAAATGATCTTGTAAGATTCTGGATTTTCCAGATCTTGCTCCGTGTGACGAGCACGGGCCTGGTACCAGGTTACCAAATTGCGACGCGGGACAACCGAGCTTCCTATACATATTGTGCATTGTTGATCGCCGTTAATTTCCATAGTCCAGTCTTTTTGTTGACTGGACCAGCTGGTTGGACGTCGCCATCAACAAGGTGGTCGGACGGACGAAAGCTTAGTAGTGGGTTCACTTGAGCCAATCCATACAGTATTCAAAGGAGGGGATATGAATGCATCTGGCTTTCTTCCGTGAAAGATGCAATGTATGTAACCTTCGTGTTACCGTGCGACTGCCCTAAGACCGAAACGTTCTTGAACGCTAGATTCTTTCACCGAGGTGTCATAAGGGATCCAGCCGCTCTTCAGTGCACTCGGAACTTCCAGTTACTATCAATTCTTGAAACAGCAGTCCAAGAATCAAGACTCCTACTACTGTACATTCCCTTTGATGTTTCTTCACTGAAACCGTCGATCGTGAGTTACCTGGATAGCGCGAACCAAGTATTAAGAAGTGCGCAGTCCTGGAAGTATGGCTGTCAGAAGATCCGGTACCGGAAAGCCTGACCAACGGTTTTGATGCCAACAGTTGACCTTTCGAGATCTATTCACACGATATAGGCACTTGAGAATGAGATGTTATATATATGAGTATGGTACAAGCCAGTAAACCCGGGGTGCGTCTGGGCGTCAGTGGTAATGGTACCTGACTCGGACACCACCTAGCCAGCGCCGGCGAAGCAGAGATGTCTGTCAAATTTGAGCACACAACTGATTTATAGAAGAGACATATATGTGTACCCGTTTCCCGTAGTAAATACAAGAGCTAAGCATGTGGAGTTAGTAATGCACATTTAATTGTCCGACTTCGCTATAGTGTTGTGCCGGTATGTCAAAGCCATAAGTCGGCATAGGGTAGGGCTATTTCTGGCTTGACTACTTCTCAGGGCCATGTCCAATATTCTCTCTTCTTTACTGGTGAGAATAGAATCATTCATCGTTCAGAGTATAGATGTGTCTAGGTTTCTATGTTCTGTAAGCGAAGAAATGTGGTTATAGGTTCAGGACCATCTCAATTGACTCAGGATCCGGTTCTCAGGACTGGAGAATTGATTATATACTTCATCAATATTGCGAGATGAATTCAAGGGGTACCGGGATTGCAGACCGGTACACACCAGTGGTAGGTTGGTTGGTCCCCAAGGGCTGCTAAGTTTTGCCCTATATATAGGTACATTTCAACATTTTTATACAAAATATATGTGCTTTGTGTATTATCTGACCCATATGGAAAGTCATGGGTGAGTTAATGAACCCAAAGAACATGACCAGCAGCTTGAAACAGTTCGTATGGTTCATACACTGGGATAGAACTGGGGCCATTGTTAGCAGGCATTTCGACTATACAAAGGATTCTGGCCTGCTCTTCGATTTTTATAAACGATTTTCCCAGTTATCACCAAGCCAACGGGGGAAGGACGCCTGGGTCCCTCCCGTCACAGATGACAACGACAACGCCATTGCTGCTCGAGTAAAATTTGGCCCGTATGTTACAGATATGTGGCATGGTGATGCCCGGGCGAAGCAAAAGAGGAAGATAAAAATCGAGAAGCAGAAGCTTCTCCGTATGGAGGTGACCCTCCAAGGCGTCGTTCGCCGGTTCGTGGTGTGTGCTCAAAATTTCGACGAAGACTCATTGTCACCATTCGGACAATCGACGTGTCGGTCTCTCGCTCTCGATTTGGATAGTCCTGATCTTCATGACCCTAAAAACCCCCGCGGGGGGCTGCTGTTCATGAAGGTCTATTGGCGTGCTGACTCCTCCGGGACCGCCAAAGAATCCGACATCTATCACCTTCTCGCCCAGCACCGAGTCCCCCATGTAGCTGAAATGGAGACTGGCGGAGACGTCCCTGATATGGTCACACCTAGTGAACTTGGTCGAACAAAGTTGGCAGTAGTTTGTCTGAGGTAGAGTCGGTGTATTTCCTTTGTGAAGTCGCTTTTGGTCACTGACTGGGAACCGGCAGTATTGCTCAGAGTACGGTGTGAGGCAGTCCATTTGCTTTCTCTGATAGGTTTGCAACTTCAGATCCAGGATTTTACCACCGAGACGACCCATCGACCCCGCTGTCCATAGAAACGTCGCTCCTGTCGCTCGAACTGTTCCAGCAGTCTGCCAAGCTGGCCTCAGGTTGGGAATGTCAACAAGTACGGGGGGGAGTGGGATATGAGGCCTTCAAATGTCATGTTCAACGGGGAATGTAAGCAGTGTTTGCACGCCTTTTCTCTTTCGCTGTGGTTCACATCCTTTGTCAGTTGATCCGTGGCGAACGATGGGTCTAGCGTCAATTGAAGATAACTCTCCCATACGCCTTCCTTCCATCGTTCATTGTAATTGTATCTGCGTGAGTGTCATCCCGCCCGAGTCTTTCATTGATCCACGCCAGTTCCGTAGCTGGGGTCATCAGGACTTCCGGGAATCTCATCGTAGTCCAAGCTCGCTCAATGCGACAAGATAAGCGCTGAATGCTGATCCTATACCATCCACAGAGGAAATGCCACCTTCTTCCGGGGTTTTAGTAAAGTTCTGGGTCTCAAAAGGTTGCGGAGTGGAAGGACGGAGGCTGCGAAGCCGTAATACTGCGAACATCATCAGTTACTGAAGTGAGGGGAAGAGGGGAACTGACCTGGTAGAAGTACAAAGGGTCCATGAGGATTGACGCGACAGAGACGTCCGATCGTGCATTAGCTGACCCAGTACCGATTCAGAAATCTAGATGAGTTGCTGCTCCCAAGTGGTCGAGTGGAACCTGGGCATCATCTCGCCGTTAGACAGGCATGACAGGGCCACAGATAAGGTCGCATCTCCATAAAACGGGCATTATTTTCGCTTAATTTAGCGTCAGAAGAATCAAGAAGTTCCTTCCGAGTCCATGTTCGTTCGTTCGTTCGAGGCCATCGCAGAGAGAGATGATTGCCAGATACAGGAATAGCTGTATGAGTGCGTACATGGCGAAAAAGAAACCTAGGAAACAAACGAAGGTTGTCTTCCAAGCGTGTTGGAAATGCCAAAAGCCTCCGATTATATAAATTTTTTTTTAGCATCCTTAAGTGGTGGGATGGATGAAGGATTCTGGCAAAAGGGCAAGTTAACTGGTTGAGCAAGGCAAATTTGAAATTGACCAGGTGTTGGTCGGTCCGATGCTACAAATAACTTGAAGTATCTACCGTTGTCTGTGGTCAATTACTGGCTACAATTCCTGTGTCGCAAATTTTCCGGTTTCCACAAGTTTTCTATCGTTTTCGAAACGAAGAAAAACGATGCGCCAGTGTGCAGCGTTTCTTTCTCCGCCGTCGCGTTTCGGGATAAGTAGAAGACGAAGGATGATGATGATGCCACGCGTTGATGTAACCTGATGCATTTATGACGTATCCAGTTCCCATAAGCACGGCGCGCTGATCCCCCGCCATTGCGCTACTACGCGCACTGACCACCCGACGCGTATAAAAGGGTGTCATTCTCCCGCCATCCCCCAAACGCTTCTTTCTTTTTTCCCCCACGCGACACGGTCCGCTCGCTTATCAGGCAGCGGGACAATGACCTATCCTAACTGACGCGCCAAGGTACTTGCCCAACGAGTGCCTTGCCAAGAGATTTTCCCGCTACCATTCACGCCAACGTACCGATCTCCCGCCAATGACGCACGGACCACCCGACGCGTAAAAAAGTGCGTCTTTCTCTGACCATCCCCCAAACGCGTCTTTCCTTCCTTCCCTCATCATCGTTTCATCTCCCGCCATCGTCCACACGTGTCGACCTGCTCGTTTATCATACCACACATCGTAACCAACACAGCCAAGTACCTACTTACTACAATAGTACATCGAGACCCAGTCGACTGCACCTCATTTCGATACGAATCATCCGCACATCAGACTCTGCTCTTCCGCATCTCTAACAGACGCTCTAACTCCCACCCGCACTACGAGAGTAGAATTCCTCATGTCCCGCATACAATGCTACCACCAAACGGCATGGCTGTCAACAATCATTGTTCTAAGATGACGGAAAAGCGTCCTCCTCTATGTCACATGTCACTGTACCGTTTTCAACCTCTCCAATACCTCGTTGGCACGAAGGGCATGCCTACGACCTTTGCCTGTCTTCTTTTGCCCCTCACCTCGACCTCAACCTCGGCGCCCTTCTTACTCTTCCCACCTTCAACGCTAACATACCCCATCGCGATATTCTTACCCAGTGTAGGCGATGGAATACCAGAAGTAACCACCCCAAGAAGGACGCCCGTGCCAGGCGAATAAATCTTTGCGCCTTGTCTCGCTGGTGCACCTTCTACCTCCAACCCAACGCGTCGACGCGTCGGCGTCTTCAGAGCACCCTCGAAACCAATGAACCCTCCGGCAATCTTCCTCTCCTTCCCGACTACCCATCCCAGACCCGCCTCGAGCGGTGTAGTCTCCTCGTCCAAATCCTGGCCATACAGACACATACCCGCTTCCAGCCTCAGCGAGTCTCGGGCGCCCAGTCCTGTCAGCTGGACGGGGTCCCGGGAGAGCAAGTCTCGGACGATTTCCGTTGTGCTTTGAGGTGGAATGGAGATTTCGAATCCATCTTCGCCGGTGTATCCGCCACGGGCAACGTGCAGGGTGTATCCTCCGTCAATGGGAATCCACGCCGATTTGCCGAATGTTAGGGTGCGAAGGTCAAATGAGGTGAGAGATTGAAGGTATGCGGCCGCGACAGGACCTAAGGGAAGTATGAGCTGAAAGAGGAAGAAAGGAAAGAAAGATGCATACCCTGCAAAGCAATCAGTCCCCATCCATCCAGCACCTCCATCTCCACCGGTCCATCCTTCTTGGCTCTTTCTCCATTGTTCCACTCATCTATTTTCTCCGTAAACCAGCCCAGATCGCGCTCTCTCCTCCCAGCATTGGTGACCACATAGAATGCGTCCTCCGCATGTTTGGTTATTATCGTGTCGTCGATGATTCCTCCGTTCTGGTTGAGCAGGACAGAGAGCGTTGACGTGTACGGAGACAGACCGCTTAGTGCCGAAGGTGTCAGCCATTCGAGAAAAGGCTGAGCAGTGGGACCGCGAAAATTCGATTGGACCATGTGGCCGACGTCGAACAGGCCTACGCTACTACGGACATGATTATGGCTAGCGACTACCGGACCAGACGGATTAGCTCGGTCAATGTCTACACACTGGACATAGCAAACTCACCCTGCCCCACGTCCCCGTATGAAAGCGGCATTGAATATCCCGCGAACGGGACCATTTTCCCGCCATTTTGGATGTGAAAGTCGTACAATGGCGTTTTTCGTAGCTGGGTAAGGGTGAACGGGATGAGTTTTGGATATGAGAATGTTCACACACTGGCTCGGCGGCGGACGTCGCGAATCGACGGACAAGCGAGCGGAGGAACATTGGTGGAGGAAAGGAAAAGGGGTTTTGCAAAATTGCCAAAGTGGTATGTGGCTGTGTATGCCTCGATAACCAGAATAAATACCAAAATCCCACCGTGTCTACAACTAAGTACTTCACACATTCAACAACGCCTCCGCCGCCTTTTTCGCATTAGCCTTCGTCGCCTCCAACTGCAACTCTAGATTACGAATCTTCTCCCTCGCCTCGCGAAGCTCAGCTTTGAGCTGGGCATTTTCGGTCTGTGCGTCAAGATGGTCAGCAAATGGAAGAAGGGCAACAAGAAACAACTAACATCGTCTACAGGTGATGCAGGAGCGGGAATCTTAACTGAAGCAGGAGGTGTGATCTCCTTCCTCACCGGCGTAGGCTCCGGTTGAGAGTACGACCTGGAAGTGGTCATCGGCGGCGCTGTCGGAGTGGACGCAGAAGCAGGTTGAGAGAACGACGGGGCGATTAATGCTGGAGCAGGGATAGGGGCAGTAGCCGTCTTTGTCGGCACAGGACTAGCACCACCCGAGCTCGTCACCGTCTTTCCCGTCTCCAGGTCTACAAACTTCCTCTTCACCTCTCCCCGTCCCGAAAAGTACTCGCTCGCAGTAACCGATGGCTCTTTGGCTGGCGCTGGAGGGTAGATATCCGACTGGAACGAATCGGCCTTGCGGGGGACGATGAACGCGATAGGCTCGATCGACGATGCATGCACCTTGTACGCTCGCGCGATTTCGCATTCGCCAATGTTCAGTGCTCGTCGCGGGAGGAAACACATCCCTCGCTGCGGTTCCGACGATTTGTACTCCGATAGCGCATACAGGGAAGAAGATTCGTATTCGTAGTAACGGATGTTTCCATCTCCTTTACCAGCTGCAGAGACACATAAGCAAACGAAGAGAAGAATGTCTTTCGAGTCGCTCACCAAGGAACAGGATATTGTTGTCAGACCAGAATGGCATGACCACACCGGCGCTCTGGTCTAGGGCCATCGTCTTCTCGTTCGCGAGTCCCTGGCCGACATCCCATATACCGACCTGCCTCTCGCTCATTTTACTGAACCCCGTCGTCGCTATCTTGCCTAGATCTCCCATCCACGTAACCCTCGCGCCCTTCATACCGCCGTGTCCATCTACAGCCCTGACCGCATCGCCGCCCGCTCGAGAATCAAATATCCTCAGCTTCCGATCTTTGCACGTCGTCGCCAGGAACGTTCCCGTAGCGCTGAACGCGATGCTTTGGATCGTATCCGTATGTCCGTACAACACCAGCTGCGGATCCTCCGTCCTCGCGAGGTCCCACAGTTTCACAAGATGCTCCCCCGACGCGCTCGCGAGCACGTTCTCTGCCGTCGGATGGAAGAGAACCTGACCTACTTTACGCGGACTGGCGTCGATTCTCCATACGGGTTCAAAATCCTTCGGTACCCATCCCTCGGCGCCCCACCCCTCAAACACGTCCGCAGATACTTTCCATATCATGACGTTGCCATCTTCGCCTGCAGAGGCGACGAGAGAGTCGTCGTGGGGGGACCATTCTGTGTCTAGGACTGGCGCAGTATGCGAGCGGGCGAGGGGGAGCGAATCGGGGAGTTTATACGGGAGAGAAGGATGTGCAACGAAAGGGGATGGAAGTGGGAGAATAGCAAATGCTCCTCCTCCAGATGCATTCCAATTGACAGAGATGTATTCCGCAGATGCAGAGATAACGTTCGCATCCCAGGCGCTACCAGTTACCTTGACGTTTTCGAAGCCGTGGTCCTTTTTTCCCGATTGTCCAAAGACGTGACTGACAAAATATCAACGAAATTCGACCATAGGGAAAGACGACGCACCGGTATTTTGAGGCTCGGACGAATCGGGACATAGTGGTGGTTGTGGTTGCGAAGGTGGGTGACAAAAGGGGAACACTGATCGTCCATAATAGCAGCTGTAAATAAGCGGTACAGCCACTTCGGTATTCGGGCCGGATCAAGCGGAAGCTATATACTGGAAAGGACTGTGGATTTCAGGCCTGTGAATACACGGCGAAACAGAGCATGTGGTTCGGCAATATGCTGAAAGAATGTTTACCGCTTCTGATTTTGGGAGCAAGTAATGAAAGAGGAAATTAAAAGGGCCTTAACTTCTTGCCAGATTCTTGAATTGACAAAAGATGAAAGAATCATAATCCGGAACTGTTTTGTTGATGTGCACTGACACATTGGGGGGTCCACATGTCTACGGAAAATGGCAGCTTCCGAGGCTGGTGCACTGTCACCTGTGATCATATCTAGGCTATATTGTCCTTGGACCTCGGGAAATAAATATTCAAAGTGCATGGAAACCAATGCATGGCTGAATTGGCACTGCATCCTTAGACTGAATGGGAACTTCAACTGTCCCTCTAAGTTGTAGATTCCATCCCTGGTTCTTGGTCATCCAAATAAATGTGGGTGAACCTCCCAACTCCTCCACCTGCTATGGTCTTGGAGTATTCACATTGCAAGTCAGGCAACATGTAGTAATCCTGAAATGGAATGAGTTAGATCATATAAATACACACATGACATACATATGCATTCTGTATGTCCGCTACCGCATACGGACCATTGGGCTGCACACCTGGATAGGTAACAGACAGCCATCCATTCTATATGGGATGTCAATGATGTTCAGATGATAACCATCAGAATGGATAAACTTCACTCAGGTATATCTTATTTCCTTGACTATGGTCGATGAACCTAGGCAGAGATAGTGATGAGTATAAATCCATGAGGGATGAGAAGAATGGCTCTGTCAGTTCAAATCGCTGAGAACAATCAGTCATGCATTGTTGGCTAGTTGTAACAATCAGTCGAGTGCTTCAGATGCATCTATGAACTGACCAGTTGAAGCCTGCTGTGAGAAGAATGGCAACATGTCTGCATTGATGACATCTATAGTGTCCAAAACGTGCTGAGCACCTCCACATTCCCAAGTGCATCCTATCAGCATGCAGACTGTTCACACAATTTTTCTTACCTGATATCAATACACCATTTCTGAAATCATCACTGGAATGCCTACACTTGATAGATGGGCCTTGGCTGCCAAGATCTCATGCATAAGAGTATTCGGACCCAGCACGTTAGTCAAAGAGAGGCTCGGAGCCAAATTGAACAGCACGAGTGATGAAGGGCACCTTTGGGTTTACATGAAGAGTCACCAGGAATGAGTCACGTCGTGTCATCCACATATCAGAGCCATCGAAGCCGAACTGGGAGGAAAGGATGAGAATAATAAATCAGGAGACGTTTGGGCCTACCCTACCCAGATGAGAGTATGGACCCCGATATTGGCTTCCCATGTTGCTGTGAGAATGGCGTCGCCATGTGTATAGCCTAAGTTGGACTTGGAGAGGTAAAGAAAAGTGGGGGACGAAATGCTAGAAATCCTGCCGATCACAAGTCCCGTACAGATGAATGTATCGACTGTTGAATGTCTGTCGTATGTCTTTAAATTCTCTTTTGAGTTGCTGGAGGCTCTGACCTAAATAACGGTGAGTGGCAAAATTGTGATGTGGCAGGATAACATCGTACACGCTGTGACTTCGTAGCTGAAGCCTACGAACCCGTACTCATCCGAGTATGGACACCACCGATTATCTCTAGAAGCAGGTATGTTCCTTGGCATCTTGAACCCAATAGCAGGGAAACACGAGGGAGGAGCTGGGCTCGCACTGAGCACTGCAGCGACAAGAGACAACGTAAAGACGAGTGGTGAAATCATCATTGCACGTCGGCCTTTCCTCCCATTGGATTCTTATAACAATTTTGGAGGGCAACAGAGCCACCAACTCTGCGACAAAGCTCTAGGATTTTGCGCTGTACCGTATACGGTGTACGGCCATATGGAGGACGGCCGTCAACTGTCAGAAAGTTTGACCTTGACGGCACGGTGACGGCGACGGCCGTCATTACTGTATATGCACTGATGGTTACCTATAAGAGCAGAAGTCAGGGCCCAGTATGGCGGAAATGGTCAGCTTTCATCATTTTGTTATCCACACCGGTCGAAAAAAACTCGCTAATTTTCCCGTTTTCAGGTATCCGTATAGGACTCGTACGGTCCAAAATGGACTGAACCCTCTGACGGTACGGATACGGTACCTGTATGACGGCACCTGTACAACCGTACCATACTATACCTAAAGCGGTATTGACGTCGAAACTTGAATATACCTGCCTAAAATCAAAATGTGTGACGAAAATACAACAGACCAGAAGCTAGCTTCAAGGACAATTTCATAAAAGATGTCAACGTATTGGTCGTCTTGCGTAAAATTATCCCGAGCTTGACTGGGGGGATTTGACTTGGCTGCGAAATGGACAGTCTTCAAGCGTGCGGCAAGAATGCCAGTAAATCAGGTTTAGGTGACTATTCTTATGAACATGAATTTATCCTGACCGGATTAAGGAGGTGAGCTCGCTTCAATGCAAGATCACTCGCTTTTATGCATGTATTGTATCCAGAGACCAAAAAATTTTAGACAAATTGGAATTGACTCTCATAACATTTCCCTTTAATTCTGCCAGAATGCTAGGAAAACATTGAAAAGGGAGGGGTTGGGGTTTCCCAGAATTTCCAGACACATGTTCTGAAAGCCAAGGTGACATTGCCAAAAAAAAACAAGGCACCAATCAGTTATACCTGTTCAAACCCGAAGGAAAAGGTCGAACGAATCTGAGTCACAGTGACGGTGAAGAGGATTCAGAGGAACCGGGGAATCGGGAATACCCATATCTGCCCAGAATTTCAGCCTTCCGAATTGGCGAAAATTGCGACTGGGTGCACTTGAGGCTGGACCAGAAGAGTCTTGAGACGCGAGAGAATAGGACGACTCAGATGCTTGTCGGAGGCTGGAGAAAGACAACAGATAGACGTGAGCCGGACCAGACCTAAACCAGATAAGGACCAGAAATATTTTATCTTTTTGACACTCCCGCGCCTATGTATAGTCCCAACGGCGTATCTTCCTTGTTTAAATGCACTTACCGTGTTCGACATATATATTTTAATCTGTTCATTTTAGGGCAATGGTTCGCCCACGCTAGAACCACAGACGGTCCTGGACTTTTTCAAGTTTCAACTTGAACGAGTTGTATCGATATTCGTTACCTTGAAGGATGTTCATCTGTTGACTAACTGGGGAGGTTTAATGATGCATTGGTAAATGTTTGTAGAGAAGCCTTCTTGTAGAAAATCCATACATTGAAAGTTGAACCTTTTTGAGTGTCAGTGAACACACTGTTGATTCCACGGAACTAGCCGACTGCTACGGAGGGTTTATTCTGTGACACCCATATATACTACTACCTTCGAGAATGGAGACGAATACGAAGCATAATTGATGACTACAATACCTATTTCCAATATAAATATATCAAGTACATCAAAGAAAGCCTCAGTTAACACTGCGTCCTTAGATGAAAAGGAAATTTCAACTTTCCCTCCGAGTCATAGATGCCGTACCCCGGTTCCATGTTATCCGAATAGATATGGGCGAACCATCCTACCCCTCCGCCGGCTACGGTCTTGAAGAACTCGCATTTCGAGTCGAGCAACGTGAAGTACTCCTACAATAGCATGAGTGGGATTAGATAGATATACACATGACATACGTGTTCGTTCGGTATATCTGATACCGCATACGGGCTATTGGGCTGCACGCCTGGGGAAGTGACAGACGGCCATCCGTTCTAGACTAGGTGTCAAAGATGCTCGGCTGGCAATCATCAGAATGGACAAACTTCGGTCAGGTATATCTTCTTTCCTTCACCATTGTCGATGAACCTAGAGGAGAAGACATAGATATAAATCCACGACGGCCAAGAAGAATGAGTCTACCAGTCTAAATCGGTGAGAACAATGGGCCATGAATTATTGGCTGGTTATAACGATTAGTTAAGCGCCTCGGACAGGTCTAAGAACAAACCAGTTGAAGCTTCCTGTGAGAAGAACGGTAGCATATGCGCATCGACGAGATCAATGGCATCCAAAACCGACTGCGCGCCTCCGCGTTCCTAAGCGCGTCCGGTCAGCATGCAGACCGTTCGCACAATTTTTCTTACCTGGTATCCATACGCCATTTCTGAAATGGTCACCGGAATCCCTAGGCTCGACAGATTAGCCTTCGCTTCCAAGACCTGTTCAGCCAAGGCATCCGGATCCAGTACGTTGTCAAAGAGAGGCTCAGATCCGAATTGGAGAACACGAGTGACGAACGGCGCCTTTGGGTTCGTGTGGAGAGCCGCCAGGAGCGTGTCGCGTCGGGTCATCCAGATATCGGATCCGTCGAAGCCGAACTAGCAGGAAAGGATGAGGACGACACGGAAGGTTTGAGCCTGGGGGTGGACGTACCCAAACGAGAGCGTGTACTCCCAGGTGGGCGTCCCATGCTGCTGTGATGATGTCATCGCTACGTGCACGATATCAGTTACGAGCGATGGAAAAGATGAGGTAAGAGCATACTAGAAACCCTCACGATCACAAGCACCGTACATGCGAATGTATCGACCATTGAATCTATGTCGTATGTCTTTGAATTCGCGTCGGAGTTGCTTGAGACTTTGACCTAAATATCGGTGAATCGAAGGACTGACGACATCCAAGGATAAGGTCATACACGCTGTGACCTCATAGCTGAACCCTACGAATCCGTACTCTGAGTCGTACGAGCACCACCAATTATCTCTAGAATCAGGTGTGTCATCTGGCATGTTAAACCCAAGAGCAGGGAAACACGAGGGTGGGGAGTGAGCTGGGCTCGCAAGCGCACTAGCGACAAGAGACAGCACAAGGGTGAGTAGTGGAACCATCGTTGCAAGTCATCCTTTCCTCACCTGTGATTTTTATAACATTATTTGGGACATTGTGCGCGCACTGGAATTCGAACGAAGAAAGCAAGGATCGAGAGACGCGCAGGCAATAGACGCCACGGATATTCCTTATAGGTAACTGAGATGCCATGGTGTACAAGTAATGGTTGAGGAAAGGCCATAAACTGTCTGGCACGTAAAAGACGGTTGCATGGGGGATGTCTCATATGACACGGCTTTGAAAGAGAAGGCTGAGAATGACTGACATATGACTATGCTCCGACAGACCCAAGAAAGTATGAGAAGAGAAGGTCCTTGGCATTCGAGGACCGAGCGTAATACCAGACGGAGTAAGGGTCACTGTATAGCGATGATCAAGCTTGATCGCGATGTCGCTTCGTCCACATGATCATACCACGGTGAGGTGATGTTACAATTAAAGCCAGAGATACACGTCAGAATGGAGCAGACATAATTTTAGGGAATAGTGCGAATTACTTCGCTTGCAGGAAACGAACGCTGCGACCTGTGACAAACCAGCAGAAGGGACAATGTCTATGGCATGCAAGGAGAATCAGGCCGATTTGAAAAGCAGAGTACAAGAAAGGGCCTTAATTTAGTATAAGGGATCCAGTAAAGGCACTATAAGGTCGAAAGAGGCTGTCTGTCCCGAGGTCTCCTTCATTCCTCCTACTAATGTACCATTGCCGAGTGTCCAGCCAATGCAGGAAATAGCTTCCCAAGTGTCGTCTCTCTGACGTCAGAAGAAGGGTAGTCGCCCGGAACCAGAAATATCGCCATGCGAGGATCACAGAACTCATGCAGTACTTGACGGCACAATCCACATGGTGTTATGGCGGAAAATAGATTTCTATCAAGGTCGTCAATTGGTTCGTTAGATGAAATTCGGATGTTATTACGAGGTGACGGCGAGTGCTCTGAAATCGGTGACTCCGTCGCTCTTCGAGTATCAATGAGATGGTAACAACAGATTTATGGTGTTGGACTGACAACGGCTTTGACGATAGCAACACGCTCTGCGCAGATCGTCTCGCCTGGAACTAAAGTGAGTTCCTGCGAGCACCGAGACAACCAAACTCACTGTAGATCACATTATCAACGCTACATCCCCGTATTATAGCACCATCTTTGGCCAGTAGAGCAGCACCCACAGGGAAATGTGAGTAAGGACTGTAGGCCCTATCTTTTGCTACAGAGCATTGGTGAGACATTAACAGGGCATCAGGGGGATATAACTTGCCTTCGAAAGCTGCTCGTATCAAACCATCTCGCTCGGCTGAAGAGACTGACATTGGCAACAGAAGCATAATAGCCACGTGACGCCAGGCATCGACGACCAAATCAAAACTCAGATTGTGAAGATAACCATCAAAAACGTCATCAATTATTACAGCAGCTCTGTAACCCTCAATTACCCAATCCCCTAGGGGATTCCGTTGGGATTACACGTAATAACCGTGTAAATAATCTTTGGGCTGTACATCTCTTCTGAGGTATTCCTTTCCCAATTTATTTATCTCTTTTTCTTTATGCATTCGTCGTCTGGGCTTGTTCAATTTAGTCATTGCCAAATAGGAGATATCAAAGCAGGGTGCAAAACAGGAAACTGATGCTCCACAAGCATCTAGATAGGGACACAAAGGGTCCTTGGGAACTGGAACCTCATATCTAGCTCAAAAGTATGGTCCCTGATCCACGTTCTTCTTAAGCATAGTTTAGGATAGGAAGGGGCATTTCCATCAGTATGATATTTTGAAGGGCTTCAGGATTGTAGATTCCATATGAATCAGAATAATTCATGCCTATGTCGATTGGAAAGAGGAACATCCTGCGTAGGATAGCTGAGACAAGGCTAGAAGAAAAAGGAACTTGGTGCTCTCGTCTTAGCATCATGGAGTCGGGAGACGCGTCTGGGTCACGTGCACCTTAGGGGTTCTGGGACATTGCCGTAATTTTCTCGTAGCTTTTGCACCAATGTGTCTATTTGCCTAGCGAACCCCGTGACATACCCACAACGCAAGGGCATTCACGGAACCGTTACCTCTCAACCTGAGAGCATGACGAATCCGAGTCGGATGTTGCTATTGTTTGCCCTGTTTTCATCTCTTCATTTCGGCATATGATATTCTCTTGCTTCTGTTGTATCTGTCTCCATCACCACTATCGTGTTGCTACCATCTTTTTATCTCACATTGAAGCAACTCAGTCTCCGGAGTCTATACGAGCCATGAGAACTTATAACTGTGCCGCATAATAAGAGATCCCTCAACTCAGCCAGATATAATATAAACCAATGTAAAATCGATCGAAGTTCAACTCCGCCGGACAGAAACATCCGTCGCTACCATGAGTCCTGCAGGCAAAGGCGACATGCATCTATCGCCTCCTCTAGAACAATTCTCCTTCGTTTGCAATAATCAGTCCAGGAGAGCAAACGTTTCGAAGTATCTTCATTACTCACCGAAGACTTCAACTTAGCTCAACAGCAGATTCAATTGTTATCTCAAGGTCCTTTGAATAAAAGGGTTCTCCGTCGGTTTCTGTGGAAACTTACTCATCTTGAAGTATCGTGTGAGTACTTCTTCTAGACCCACTTTTGGCCGGAAAAATCATAACACCTAGATATTGATACTCTCGTAATCGCCAAGTGGGGTCCTTCAAATTTAGGCACCTATAGAAGAGTCGTGATTATTTCCCGAAAATTCTTTGGTACATTGGAAAACAAACTGACGCCTATCTGCAAGCTCAAACGCTAACCTTACAGGATTAATGGTCTCACCGCCTTTTGCGCTTATGATAAGAATGACTCCGCGACTCTTTATCACTGTAGTGCTCAGGACGCGTTGTGCTTGCGATATCGCGTTCGAGGATACTAGGAAAGAAAACCTCTTGTAGGGTGTCTACATCATTTTGAGTATTTACCATCGTTCAAGGACGGCGTGGGAAGAAAATGAATGCAGTTAAGCGCTCAGTATCAAGGTCCAATGAGGTTCGTAGGAGCAATCATGACAAGGCGTCTCTGGATACCGTTGATTGATGAGACGATGGCATCATGCATGATACAAGAGTGTCGTGATAATCAAACGCCAGTTGTCATTCTTTAGCGCCTACTGGCTGAACAGCGAGCGGCCGCTCTAGCACATAATGGCATTATGAATTGGGATTTAGTAAGCGTTATGTTCCAGACATCACTGTTACTGGAAGGTGTGTCAAAATTCGGGCGGTTGATCCATATCCTGACGCCAGAGGGGAAATTCGTACACCGGAACTTCCAAAACCGACATGCAGAACTTAATGGAAAGCGCAAGAGCACATTTATCATTGAACATTGGCACGGCAGAAACACCTATTCACTTCATTCCCCCTTTCTTTGTGGCCCGTTCACCCTTATCTCCATCAACCCTCTCACAGTCAAGCGGTTACACTTGTTATCAATCATCTTTTTCAACACATGCCCTTTCTCTCCCCGAATTATTCCACGTACTGCCTTGATTGTTCCCAGAGAACCTAGAATAGCATCGAACCACTCCCACAGGCGCGCGTTAATTAGTCCATTTTCAGTAGTATTAACCTGCACGGTCATAGTAATTGATCGTAACGCGACTCCGCTTCTAAAACTTTCGATCCACCACGCAAGAATCAAACCCGGATGGAGATGTTGCTCAAATTCTTCGTTTGCTTCGAACAAGTTAAATGAGACGACTTCAATGCTCGAGAGATCAAGGGGTTTTGGCTTGAACCACCTAGAATCTTCTAGAAGTTAGCAGTGGGTCGTTATCAAAAGCACACAAGCCCACCTTTCTGCAAACCCCTTAGATGCAACTCTCGAAGGTTCGGCGCCAAACGAATCACCAGCGCCAGGCTCATGAAATCTTCCATAAAAAGAGCCGACACGCTCAACTTTTGTAATCGGTTTAATGATGCCGGAGAATGGGGATAGAGAAAGGGGCGGAGCAGGGTCCCAGCATGCAGTGATAACTCCATCGGTTGTGGTTTCGGACCCGAAGCACCCGTTTTGCCCACAGAGTACGCCCTCATGTCAAATCGCATGTTTAATAGACCCAGTTTTCGGAGTCCCAGGTACGGTTGGAGGAACTGGTTCAAGATGCGAATATCTGTGTAGTCGACCGCATTCAATTCTAAGGATGTGACCAACGAACGTTGGCACGTCAAGGCCTTAATCATATCCCCTGGGAGCGCTGACAAATTCACGTATCCCAGTATACAGATGTGTTCAAGATGATCAAAGGATGATATGATAAGCGGCATGGTGGCGTTAAACAAGTCGTCGTTTGATAGCCGAACGGCACGTACGTGCCGAGAGATAGATATCAGGGCGTCTATCGAGTAACATGACTCGATTTTGATCGAAATTCCGCGTATGAGGTGAAACAGATGGGGACGGGTGTAGGCGGAGAAATCACGCGAGACGCGGGAACAAGATTTGAGAGTGGTGCAGTCGAAGCGGAGATTGTTAATGATATCTTGTATGATATTTCGTGAAGCAGGAGTACTCGCAGCCATCGTAGAGGACTTTCTTTGGTGTCACAGATTTATCTAAATTCAATCAAAGGATTATTGTATGGGACAGCGAACAACAAAGGGGCTTACATCTGGGAGAAATGACGGGGCCGTATAGCAACTGGGGGAGAAACGACTTTGATGACTATCTGATTATTGAGGTCAAGATTCCTTTCACGATATGCGGCGACATAGACGTACAGAGAGTACAGAACTTGAAGATTTGGTCAATGGGAATGGAGGCGGATTGGTGTAAGGCGCTTAAACTCGAGATCCTTAAGTAGCTCACCGGATAGGGTCCGATCGCAGCCTTGGTGACAGGATAACAGACGCCACATCGCACGGACTCATCTTATGGTGTATAGGCGGCCGTTCTTGCCGATCGTCGTGTATCTGAAAATGTTAGTGGAATTGGGCAAGCGCTTAAGTGCTATACCGAGCGCCTGTTCCAGGAGAGACATAATTGGACAGGATTTGGTAACCCACTGGCGCTTAAAATACGATCTGGAGGACGTGCAACTGACAAAAAAAATTAGCGCCATACTTGTCATTTATCCCACTTTTGTGATCGATGTCCGCTTAAGATATGGAAAAAAAACAATAAGATGCATCTTGCTAAATGAACAGTACAAATGAACCCGGACCATGAGAAATGACAACGCGAGCCACACGGATGGATCGCGACAAGAATTACAACATCATGACAGCATATCTCTTTTGTTCGATTTTCAGATCTCGAAGGTAGCTCTTTCTATTTGACGCAGACCTGGGTCTCAGGTAGTGTTTAGAGTTTCGTCTAAGTTGTATCCATGGAGACCCCGCCGTGGATTATTACATCTCGCCCTTGAACGTGAGAACCATAAGTTATACCTAAGCACTTTCTTGGTGATGCAGACGGCTAGTATCGCCTTCTACCTGCCCTGGAATGGAAGAAATAATGCCCAACGCTTCATGAAGGAAGATACAACGCATGGATTCGAGTACGGATATCACGCTGGAGATAAATGTTCGTTGCCAAGTGAAATCATTCCATGCAAATACACACCTGGTTGCTATTGTTACAAGGACCATCCAATTTCTAACGAAGAGGCGAAATGAAGCTTTTTCTGTAATTGATTCGGTGTCTCAAGGCCGTAGCTTCTGACTCTTCATCATTGTCCCATTCTGTGCTCTCTTCATGCTCACGACTGATTTCCGGACCGGATGAACGTTAAACTGAAGAATGGATTGTTTATCGAAAGTCTCGAAAGGAAGAAGGACCTTCCGAGTCATGAATGAACATCGCAAAAGATGACGCGTTTGCGGAAAGATCCGACTGGATCCGACATCCGCTGCCCGTCGACCCGCTCTTCCGGGCTGCTTCCGCTCACCTTCCACACTTGCGTCGCTTCTCCGGACATGAAGTGCTATCCACCCTGTCTACATGCAGCTTCCTCATGCTCTCTCCCAAAACAAATCATCAATTCCTTGATCTTGGATGTCTGACGAACGATGTTGCTTCTCATCACATCTTTTACTTACTCGTTCTCAGCGCTTGCTCAGTACATGTAAGCCTTCGGAGATCCTCGATGAGGACTATTGGAGTGGGGGTTTTATTCCATGAGAATCAATGCCGCGTGGGCGTAGTAGAAGGTCGCACATGACCACTACCCCCACATCAGCAGCATCTGACTCACCAACTGCGGAAGACTTTCCCCCGTCGTTGCTTTCTTACAAGAGAAAATGGTGCCTTGGTCAGTGACGCACCATACAGATATTGGTGGGAACATGCTTCACACGGTAAACGCTTTTTCTTCACATGGGGTCCGCCGATATTACTTCTCCGAAGGCTGTGTCAGAACGCGGTGCAACAATTGGTGACCCTTGTCTTAGGATGTGAATATTCGGGAATCTGACTCCGGTTCATACAATGGGAGCTGCGAGACCTATTTATATCAATACGCAGTGTTCCTTGTAGACTAGTCTACAATCAAACAGACCGCCGGGGCTTCTATGATCAAGACCAGGCGATCGCGATCGCTGGATAGCGCCACTAATCTTCGGTAAGGGGTGCAAGTCGTGACGAGAAATAAATTAAGGACCTCATATGCATATTATGTGGATGAGGATGATCTATAGCTGGATGAAGTTAGACATGCTTACTTGGGCTGAAGCAAATATGATGGTGTTTTAGATGGCAGGATCATACCTTTCGTTTTAACGGAACGTCCCGCTTACGCATCATGCCTGACAATGTCACTTATCCCTACTACACGCTGCATCTATATTAATGTTTCATAGCATAGTTCGTAAGTAATAGAATGCTCTTTATCGTTCTCCTAATATGAATCATCATAGTCGTTATATTTATTACTTAGATTATTCGTATCGCATACCGGTAATAGTGCACTGAGTGTTGACTGTTGTAGGATGACTGTCCCGTGATTCAAGTACCTCGTTCATGATGCGAACTTCTAATGGTTTCGGAAGGGCACTTGACTCGGGGGCATTGCTCGTTGTTGTTATTGATTGTTGAGACCGCCTGAATAATTCGTCCAGCCTGATAGACCTCGCCGAAGTAGGAGATAGACAGTACTCATCAGGGGGTGTATTCGCAGATCTAATTATAATGAGATTGAAAGCAATTGACACGAGCTGTATTTCCTATAACAAACTTCAGTGAACAAGAGCGGAAGGTTAAAATACAGAGAACGCGCTTACAATATCGGCAGCAACAAAACCAACCTTTCCCCCTGTGAGAAATGCAATGAAGGCGAGACAGGCAGCTAGGGTGCATAGAGCGCCCGACTCGATGATCAATCTGATGGAGCGTTGAAGCCGTGAAACTCTGCTTTGAACTCGATACTGAGATGATCCACGATCAATAATCATGATTCTCCATGCAATAAGAGCTAAGGAAATGATTCAGCTCGTGCATATCAAACTTTAGGCCGACTAACAAGTGGTGAGGATATTTTGGACGATCGTCAAGGCGAGAAAAATGACCCAAGACCGAGTGTGCGAGGGTAGGTGTACGGTATCAGGAGAAGGCGGAAACTGCGAGCGATGCCTCGTTCGATCTACTGCCGAATAGATGGTTATTGCTATGCTACCAGCCCATACGAGAACAGGAAAGGCTATGATGATCCATTGTTTCATGTAGATGATCCAGCAGCGGTATATCTGTTTCTCGTAGTAAGTTACGATGACACGGGTAGCTGGCTCGCAAGGAGATACCAGGATTGCATCGACAGTGACAACAGCCAGACAGATTCCCGTAGACTGCAGGGTATTTATCAACCCATAATCACTACAAGAGAACGCGAAACGCTTACTACGATAACGTCTATCCAGTTTCTTTCGGATCTCGGAGCTCCAAGAATTCTTGCAAGGGCGCATACGATGTGCATAGTCGCAATAACGAGCAATAAAAGAGTGACGATGATGAATTTCCAGTTGGGCCTTTTGTTCAACTTGAATTCCGGACATCGTCCCCATATGAGGTAGCGCATACAGAGGAAGAAGGAGACGAGATAGGCCCCGAAGAACGTACTCTCCAGGAAGAGGCTCGTGATATAGGTTTTCATGAGGTCAAAATCGTCGTCGGTCATGTCGTGGAAGTGGATACGAAATCTCTAAAGCAAATACTAGAGCTTTTATTGGGAAACCACATCAGAAAAACCATTGTGTTTGACATCGTGAGACGTCGAGGGCGCTTTCATTGGAGCATGCCTCATGACAAATGGTAGTTATGGGGTTTACGCGGTCGATTATGACGGAACTTGATCCAGATAGGATCAAGAGGACCATTCCATGTAACAGGACATTTCGAGAAAGCAGGGCTCAGTTGCGTCCTAGGACGGGTCTATGACAACGAGTCGAAGGGGACAGCAGTCAGATCACGTTACACGTAGAATGTGAAAAGGCATAGCCCGGAATTGACATATTCATATATTGCGCTAGCGAGTGATATGACTGGATAACTTTGATCATATGATGGTCGGACGAACGAAACGACAAAATTTATCGCGTAGAAATAGCTAGATGCCTTTAAAAACAATTAGCCAGCTCGATGACCAAAAGAATTAAATGAACGAACAAAAAAATAAGTAGTTTTTTTGGCGTTGCCTTTGGGATACATAAATTGATCCACGAATCATCGGAGTCAGAAACCTCATACTGTGATGTAAACATTAGTTAGATTCTATACCTGTCATCGGTATTCCTGTAAGTGCTGGACTTCTTTCTGAACCTGAGACAAGAGCCAAAACCTGATTGGTATTCAAGCTGCCACTCTTTCGAGGAGCGAAGACCACGGCCATATTATGCTGTGTATTCTTATAGACAGAGTACTTCGACGCGAGTTACGTGACCAGGCAGTGGATAACTTTTGTTGAAGGCCATGAGAAAGAGGATGGCGTGAGATGCGGGTGGAAACGTAACGAGTAAAGTTTGACATGAAGTAAAGAAAAGAAAAGAAAAGCAGTGAAGGAGTCTGCCGTATCTGCCGCGGCAGTATCTGCGGCACGCCATGTTCCGGCGTCTCCATCTTTCTTCAGTTCCCTCAGGCGTCCATGCAGGCGTCTGCGACTCTTTCGGGGTCGTGTTGTTTTCTCTGTTTTTTTTTTTTCTGCTCGTAGCATGACCAGGATTCTCTACTTGTGGTCAGGCTTCACATTTCCAACAAAAGCTAGAATAACTGACACGCGCGACGACGATTCGATTCGTGTCGGTTATTCACATCATTTAGATATGTGCACCGGAAAACTTTGGGAGTGATATTGAGACTGTTATTTTCATGGATTATGTCGGAATCCGCATGCACTTGTAACCGATGTTCTGTTAAGCTTTTCGTGTAGGAAAATCTTTATTCAGTTGTGGTGATCCTTTCATGGTGGCACTCTCTTCACCGAACGGCTCTTTCTGTGGACATATGCTTCAAATTAAAGCCCAACTCTACCGACGTTTCGCAGGATGGATTGAGATGGATGGTTATAGGTTCATTGTATACATGGTGAGTCTCTCGTCCCTAGGAGGAATTGATGTCCTGAATGCCTCTGCAAGTCCATACCCATAATTAGACCAACAAGAATAAAAGAGCAAGGGCTTATAGAATCGGCGACTGACGCCGGCGCTCTTTTTCATCCCCAGCTTCCGGATAACTCCAAAACCTAGCTCAGCATGCGGATCCCGGTTAGCTCCATTCAGAATATGAGGAATGCACATCACAAGGATCGGGTCTTCGTGAGAGGACAGTGAGTTCCTGGTTGTGTTTTGACGCACACTGATGCGTTGATTTAGTTCAAGCCTTGAATACCACCTTTCCAAACAATAAGTTTAATACAGGATTGAATAGGTGCCTCTGAAGCACATCTGCTGCTTCACCCTTATATATATGGTCGGCTGCTTCGCTCGCAACCCTTTACTAGCAGTCGCTGACTGATACGCATATTTAGGTCCTCGACCAATCCATAGCCTTTGGACCTGCAATTCGCTACCTCAAATAGCTGGTCCTGCGTTTGGACGACGTCTTCTAAATCATCCACAGAAATCTCAGCATAACTGTACTACCTTCAGCAGTTCTACGAGGCGAGAAGAAATACGAATACACCAAGTTTCGTTACTCATGGTGGGCGCGTCGAAACTTTGCTGGTCGATAAGTGTTGGTGTTTAAGCTTTCTTTTTCTGCTAACGGGTCGGCCTAGAACATCTATGTTTACATCAAAACTGACGAGTTGTTTTGCCTGATTGCCAATTACATTAAAACAATATCCTCCGCTGGGCTCAAAAGAGTAGGATCATGTGACGGCTCAAGCTCCTGCTCTTTTTGAACTGAAAATCCGAGTTTTTGTTGTTATACCTTTGCCACTAACCGCCACCAACATCACTATACAGTGCGATGTTCTTGGGCCGATCTCAAGTGTTCTTTCCCCCATCGCCGCCGCTGCCTGCTGAAGTGGCATCTCCTGACCAACCATTGGTCGTGCCAAGTCCTCTGTTGAGACGTTGCCGCCCACTGCCCTTAACGAAACTATTCATGGCTGACTCAGGCCCTACCGAGGTGAGCATTGGTTCGCTTTCTCCTGGGAGCTCATCGTGTACTAACTGGCGGAACAGATCGCCAGTGATGTCGAGGTAGGCCCTTCTCGAGCCATATCTTTTTCTACCATTCTAATTTATTCTAGCTTCCTAACGCCACCTACAGCGCTAACCCCGATGGCGAGGACAACTCTGCTGAGAAAGACGTATGTTATTCCCAGCCCGGCGATCGTGAACATTCACTGAATCATGGTGTTGTAGGATACCTCAGTGCCGCACTCGCAAGCCTCCAAGGTCTCAAGCGACCGCAAACTCTCACGCCTTTCAAGCATTATTGGTGTAGAGAAAGAGGTACGGCCTTCTCGATTTACATCCTTTTCTTCCACTATAACTTCTGCCAGCTTCCTATTGCTACCTATGGCACTATCCCTGATGGAGAGGACAATGCTGTGGAAGAAGACGTATGTCGCTTCCGGTCCCGCGGTCAGGAACGTCTACTGAGTCCTGGAATTGTAGGACGTCCCAGCGCCCCTCTCGCAAGCCCCCAAGACCCCAGGTGACCGTAAGCTCCTGCGCCTCCCAAGTACCGGCCAGCGCGAGCTCCGTTGCAAACGCGACGTGAAACGAGGGTTACCTGCCCGGGAGCCTCCTTCGCCATCGCCACCTGTTAGGAAGAAGAAAAAAGTTCTTAGTACGTCTTTCTTTATCCCTGCAAATGCCCGTAGCTCATGGCGTTCTCGTTGTCCAGCCAAGAAAATGCCCGTGTGGTGCACCTCCAGAGCGTTGGTACCATGCGAGACTGGTCTTAAGCTTGGGACTGCTTCTGGTGCTAGCGACTTACCGACGTCGTCACCTTCTGGGAAGCGTGTCCGTGGATACGAGGCTGACGACGAGAGTGAGAAGCCGAAGAGGAAAGTGAGAGCTGTGGAGAGTGTTAACTGTTAGTGGTGACTTGTCTCATGTTTTGTGGGAAGCTTAGCTGATACTTCTTTTGGTTTAGATGGTGTTGATACTGGGTGTGATAAGACTGGAGACGTAGTGGAAAAAGAAGTCTCGTCCTCGGGCCTTTAGAATTGAAGCTCATCAGTCGGAGGCGTATTTACACTATCCAGTTCGTTGCGATTCAGACACTTCATTGTTGTGGTCATCATAATCATGTTTTTGCCTTCAAATTTGTGAAAATTCTTGTATCTGACTCCTTGATTTCCTGTTTCGTTTCCGTATACGAATTGTTGTTTGCTTTTCAACGTAATTCAAGCTGAATTACCTCTATGATATGGAGAAGCATTCTGGGGAAACATGGTTGTGCTCGGCCAAAACTTTCCATCTCACTGAATCACTCGTAGGTATATCTTTGGCACGAGGATATTTGTGGTGTACTACAAGGAGAGACAAAGTCTAAGTAAAGATCATGGCGACCTAAGAGCTGGAAAAGGTACAATAGCGCCATGCCCTTGACGTATAGGCCATCGTAAAGATATATAGATATCAGTAAAATTGAGACTCGCAGAGTATATTGTAAGACATTGTTAGACGATACTTTTGATGCCTATTCACGCATAATTCCACACTCGTTCTTCTCTGTCCTGGACCGAAATGTTTATGGAGACTCCGTTTTCTCTGCATTGCCTCAACTCCTGCATCCGATCCGTATTCATGTGCCATAGTTTATCATCGAGCCTTCGCACAGTGATATCGACATTTACCTCCTTTAGTAGCGATCTACCTTTCTTAGAGCATCTGGACAGGACCATGTCTACGAGCCTAGGCGAGATGAATCCAACGAGCATATCTTGGCGAACATTTTCTTCGCTAATCGAAACATCGAAGGTCTCCAACTGCGAAACAAAATTATACCCGCTCCCATGCAAAGGAGAGGTGAAAGTTGCAGAATGGCAAAGATATCGAGAGTCATTGTTGCGTTTGTCAGGAATAATGTGGTAAGCGAGCATTTCGACGCTTCCAACGTTCCGCATACGTTGATGAGAGCCATACCTCCATCTCTGAGAAAAGTGCGCTGGTACCCACGTATAATGATGTGAGCTGTGGGGAACAATATAGCTAACAAATGATTCTCGGTTACGAAAAGTTCTCGGATGAAATTGTGAACGATATGCGTAGGTAAGACAAAAGTGACATACCAAGGTACGGGAGCGATTCTATGCAGCAGCGACAATGCTCGGAAGTGAGGCGAAAGATGTCAAGATAATGCGTATGGAGAGCCATGGTACCCTCTGTCACAGTATCAGTGAAAGATGTGAGCTGAGAGTGCAGAATTGGAACACTATCAGAGGCCGAAGTGCCGAGAAGATGAACAATAGTAAGGTTAGTGCAGTTTCTGAATATATCAAGCTCCTCATGGTCGTATCGAGATGAATCTTGTATTCCAAACGGGAGCGCTGAGAGGCAGAGAAAGGGGTCAAAAACCTGTCGGAGATGCAAGATCAGCTTCCTATGTAGAAAGAATCTCACGACTCCCCAGTAAGGTGATTCTTGTAGGACTTCGAAGAATAGTATGGTGACATTTTTTCGTATGTCTCTACAAAACCGCCTGTATGGCCAAGTGCAGTCTTCAAGAAAGGCACAGGGGCCTTTGGTTCTCTCCCAGCCGCTCCCCACATGGCGATCTCGAAACCAGTCCACATTTCAGGAAACGTCGTCGTAGAAACGGATCTCCATGACTAGTAGACTACCCCCCCCCCCAATCCATGGACCCACGGATGTATCGAAGAGATCATATTCTGTGGAGAGGTCTTTGGTGCATAGAAAGATCGCTTGCAAAATCTCGTTCGGCCAACGTCGCATTAAGGATACGAGGGTCTTGTACTGCTCTCTCAGCGCTCATACCATGTCTTGAAGCCTTCAAGGGCCCGAGACATCTGTTCAGTATCGTCATTTAGATCAGAGAGTATGTCATGAATGAGACGTTGTGATGTTTGATGAGAGAAGATCTTGGTAGGGCGGCTCATTGGCCTGGAGAAGATGGGTAAATCCGGAAGGCAACTCGGAGAATTCGCTACCCTGTATCTTGAGGCGATGTTGGTAAAGTCGTACGGAGCTGTACAAGATGTGCAGTGGAGCCTCGATCCTAGCACAGCCGAGGCCAGTGTATTTTAGCCAGTAAAAAATGATGCCCCAAAAGGTTTTGTCAAGTTGGAAAACCCTTTCTCGGTCCTGAAAAGGCCACCAGTAAAATAGTATGAAAACTTTTTCCCCTATAGAGCAATGGAGCTGAGGTAAGTTTTTTTTTGCAGTCCTCAAAACAAGGGCATAAAACTGAAGCTGAAATTAAAACCTTTTAAGATCCCATTTTAAGCTACCAAAAATGCACCAGCCTCTGCAGTGTGGCATGTTGTGGATGTGGATGACTCCGGGATATGCCAATTCCCCAGAATCGGAGTGAGTGATGATGCTGAAGGTCTTCAGAGGGAAGAGAAAGAACTGGACCTCAAAAGAGCAGCTCAATAATTCCAGAAGAATAACGGGAGAAGACCGAGGGAAATGCACACGGAAAGTCAGTGTTGAAGTAGTATTTCTGTGGTGGGGAGCTGTAGTACTTCTGAAGTACTACAGCTCCCCACCACAGAAATGGTGATGCACCAGAAGATCGCACGTGAAAATTGCAGAGGTCTCTATGATGGTCTGTATGGTAGAAATTACAGAGGCTCTGAGAGTCAGAGGCGGAAAGCCAACTTGAAGAAAATTCAACCGGCGAATTTGGAGAAAATTGAAATAAGATTTGTAATCTTCGCGGTCAGGTGACAGAAAGGTATGAAACGACTTGCGTCACGAGTCAAGTTTCAATGTCTGAAGGTAAATTTATTCATTGTATTTATACATTATCTTGACTCGCATTCTTTGTGCATGGCCGATTCTCTTTCTTCTCGCTCACATATATTGCTATGACCATCTATGCTATCGCGGACTACTAGGCTAAGTTTGTCCCCTTCCATTGCATTCATTCCGAACTCCCATGGCGTCCGTATTCGAAGACCGCATCTCTTCTTCTACTGAAGGAACAGTTTGCGAATAGTGATATCAATTGTTACTTACAAGTTCTCGGCAGTGGGCTAGGTATCTGTCATGTTGTTTCCATTGAATAGCTTGTTGATAAATATCCTTATATGGAAGGCTACAAGTGTCCATCAGCCTCGGCGAGATGGCAAAGCCAACATAGGCGCGATTAGTGTGATCTCGCTATATCTTCGTAGGAGAGCTTTTAATACTGGGACAAGGACAGTATAGAGTGACCTTAACAGCCAGCGCCCGGTACATCGGGTCAAACATTGAGCGTTTGACAGTTGTATCCCCGGTGGAGAGTGGCACCAGACAGGACGAAAGCTGAAGAATAAGGGAGACTTTTGAGGAGAGAGATATTCGGCAAACGAGATCAACGTTAGCGAGCAGTTGGACGCATGAAATAGCCTTGAATCAACTCACTGATATTATCGTCTGATGGTAATGTCGATGGTAACCATCGAAGCAGGTACAAAAGTTTGGCAGCAGAAGCACCTGAAAATAGTCTTAAAGTATTGGTCCTGCTGCCTTCTACAGAGCTGTCGGCTTTCTCGTGATAATGATCAACTATCCATCACGCTTCTTCAGGCATCAGCTTCGCCCGGTGATCCTTGTCCAACGGCGTCTGATATCACAGCTTTGCTGTGACCTAGCACCAGTTAGCATGCCCTTTCTTGTTTCATACTTGTCTGAGCCTGCGTTATCTCCGTACCGAGAGATGCAAACTCTTTTCGGAAGTGCCACACTTTAGAAGGGACCAGCGTACCAGGGCCACTTTTTATGTCTACGCGGGTTAGGCTTCACGGGACTCCGGAAAGAGAAAGCCGTTACTTCGTTTGTAGTTAACGCTGATGGAGATAATTGAAGGCGATTGTTTAGCCGCAGATTACACGCCTTGATCAGATTAAGAAAGGGTCTTTGAACATTATGAAAATTGACATCCAGGTTTCAGCACCAGCCATCGATATTTTTGCCAACGAGGTCCGTGGTCTTACAGGAAGGTGTAAATGAAAGAATACTTCATTTCTCAGGGGCATCGATAAGATTTCCATCAAATGAATTGGACAGATGTCCGCGCGAGAATGGTGTCTCGTTCATCTGCACGTAAACCTCATGTGTCTTGGTGGTTGAGCTTTTGGTTGAGCAGCGAAGCCCGTCTTGACTCCTTTTCCGCCGTTCGTGGCAAATTCGTGGCTCTGGCTTATATTATTTCTTTACCGTGTTTCTCTCGCGTATCTCGTTCCTTTCACTTCCGTAATTGCGCTTGTTGTCTCGGCGCGTGCAGGTACTAACGGAGTAATAGTTACTACGCGAACCGCTGTGGCTGTTATCACTAAAAATGGGGTGGGTTTTGTTCGTTATTGAGAACTGTGTTCAACGGCACTCCTACTTTTTTACAGTTATCCACCGAGAATTTGCGTAATTCCTCATTGATTCCATGCAACTATTCCCTTCGTCTTCGGACCAGAGTGATAGTCTTCAAAGCCATTTGTATAGCAGCTTCTCCTGTTATTGAACCGCCCGGGATTCGTTAACAGCCTTCTATTCTTTTACAACGGGCTACTACTTCTTTTATACCAGAAGAAGCGATAGCACAATGTGCCCCCCGAACCCTTTGGTCGTCGGGATTTTTACTTCATGGTGGACCATTTTTACTGTTTATTTTGAGCTATCTACATTTTTATATTCTAATGTTTAGATGTGCAATGGATGAAAACCCTTCATGTATATCTATCTAATCCTGCCAAGACGGTCTCTTACTCGGTTTTACTACGATCATCAGTCTCAGAAACGAGAGTATCTATCGACCTTCTGCTATTTTGACACACGAATTGAAGCGGTTCCAAAACCGATTACGAGAGGTGGAGTAAATTCCCGCTCCACACGCTGTAGTTCGAGGTCTGATTGACTACTTCCAGAATTCAGAAACACTTATGGAGTCACCTTAGGAGCTGTGATGTTTCCACCCCTTGAAAAAAATCTTTTCAGATGCGAAGCCCATTATCCCATGTACCTCAGTTTTCATCATTACTCCAGACGGAAGAGCTGGTCAGGCGCTTAACGCTGCAGTGTATTCATAGAAAAGATTCCGACGCTGTCATTGAGGTGTATTCGGCTGATCTTCGATGTTATACATTTGTCCGATCTGCTTGTAGGACCTATGGGAGGGCTTCGTATTTATTTTTTTGATCATTTCGTTCTGACATACGGCACTATTTGGTTGCCTGGACATTATTGGACCCCAGAAACTGCCTCATTCTCTCTTCGGCTGTTTTGTCATTCCGTAAAGCAACAACGAAACGGCTATGTGCGAACGACCTAGTCCGTAGCACGAGGCTTCCATCCGTCACGGACCAATAACTCCACGATAGATAAATTCCAGCGCTACCTACAGCTTCTTCAGCCAAGGACCGTTCGAAAAGGATCTTCAATGATACCCGTTTCGGCTTGACCTATGGGTATTTAAATCCTCTCTGTTCTCCCAAGAAGACGAAGCTTGGGCCGGAGATTCAGCTATGGGGTCTCTGACTGTGTGTCGTACTCTCAGTTCTAGCGCTGCCTGGCGATACATTGAATCATAACCTGAAAAATCTTACTGAAGACCCCGGTATAGCGCTGATGCTTTACAGCAGTTCTTACGAAGCTGATGGGTCGAATCTTTGAAAATTTACTTCCTAGAATCTCCTTTCCTGGGACACCCTTTCAAGATACTGTTTCTGGAACCGAGTCTCCTGGATAGCCTTCCTCTTCCTTCCGGAATCGGACCTGCTAATGAAGGCACAAGAAAAAATTGTTGGACTAAAAAGGATCACAGGTGATGCCAAACGAAAAATTCATCGACCTAACAAGAATGAAGGCGACTATTGTAATCAAACGATACCCCCCGGTGTTCCTTATCTTCTTCCAGTTGTCCCAACTCGGATTATGAGAGCTTTTCAATGGCTACTTTGTTAGTGTCCGTAAAAACGGTATTCGGACCACTGCTATGGATCACCATGTTATGAACATACTTGGAATAAATAGCGCACGAAATTCCAGTCATTAAGAGTTACATGTCAATGTATAAATAGCTTCTTGGCGCCTTTCATCTCGACGGTGGGAGATAAGCTTCTGGTATTCATTGCTGAGCCATGGTCCATTGGCTCATTCCTTTTCGATAAACTGCTTGCTTTATTTTGTTCCAAGAGTACAGGTACATCATGAACCTCTACACTGCCCAAAGCACCGCACCACGCAATGTAAGGTTTAGCGAAATTTTGTGCGGTACTTCCTAATCTAGTGGCCAGCAAGGAGCATTCTGCATCAATTGGACGTGCCGGTATCTCACGGCGCCGGTACGGTGTTGAATATATTTGACAATGTATCAGAAAGATGTGATCAAGATCCGAATTTCAGGATATCGTCACTCATACTTCTTGGCGCTCGAGTACTGTGTCTGTTCTTTTCCCGCGAGAAAACGACCCCAGGAGCACCCACATATAATGTGGGAGAATATTGACGAATCCGATTTCGTGGCCTCACCATGCCCTGTCCTAGGACCATTTCAAGGCTGGATAATTTGGATCTCCTAGACTTTGACTCTGAGTATATTCCTGCTGTAGCTGGGAGCATGGAGCTCAGTGTTCTATGGTCGTCTTCCAATATAGGTCCTAATACACCAGCGCCAGAAGGTGACATAGTCTACCGACCTATCTCACATTCGCTGATTCCATGGTTTGTAGGGGCGCAGGATAGGAATGAAGATTCTACAGCGGATACGGTATTAGAATTGCCTGTCGTCACCTTGGGCGAGACGCGTCGCGGCCGAGAGGTAGACGCAGAGGATAGGCTGAAATGTATTGAGAATGAATCAAACAGACGTTCGTAAGCTCTCAATAGACTGGTAAATTAATTGACTGGCTTGATGTCAGCAGCCGCAGAAAACAATGGTTCTCAGCAGACAATGACGTCGCCTCGGGGAGGAGTAGTATCTAAAGATGGGGTATGTGAATGAGACAAACTCACCTTCACTTCAGCTTACAGACGAGTTCTTTGCAGCCTGAACACTCAGCGTGAATATTCACAAGCAGCGTCCTAGCCCAGACAGTAGCTTCGACTCGGTAAATTAACTTGGCCCAAAAATTTTACTGTAACGCTGTAGTCACCAGAGAGATTGAAAAAGAACATCTTCAGGAGATGTAGGATAATCCGTCGCTTCATCCTCTTGATTAGTCAGATCCTCAGGACATAATTCACGATAAAAGATCGAATCAGGTTGTAGTGATTGATTTACCACAAGGAGATTCATGTTCGCCGGGCAGGAATCACAGAGTAGCAACTTGATCTTTAACCAGAATTGGGTGTTTTTTTATGCTTTCTTCATTCTATGATTAAACGTGACCGCCATTGGCAGACTAACGCGTATGGGATTTCATTCACAGTGGTATCATTGTCTGTTAATATCATCATCGTCGTCATCATATTATATATCTTCTTTGTTTTGCATCAACAGCGTTACCTTCTATATGCCGAAGTAACCCTCTATGAGACTACAATGATGCGCTACGAAAAAGAAACGTGAGCCTTTGGCTGGAAGTATGAAGGATGGAATACGAACGCAAAGGTAGAATCCTTCTTTCCCACGATAATCCGCTGCCTTCGTTCTTCTGCCAATCATCAAATATCTACACGTTAAACACTAAGCTGGAGAAAAAAGAGAACGAGAGAAGGAGCAACATTTCAGAACATGGTCGACAGAAGATCCAGCATAAGTGTCCATATGCGTTGCGATACGATACTGGACGCCTCTACGGAATGCACCTAAACATCTATGCAGTTCGGGGAGCCGATGCTGAGAAAAGATGATGTGCCCTAAGTGCATCTTGAGAGCACATACAGCAAGACAAAACAATGCCCAAATTCCAACGTCATCCTTTCTGGTAGTAAAGACAGAGGCATTTAGAAGTGCATATGTGCCTTGTAGATGAATTATTTGTTCTTTTCGATGTCCGGTCAGGGTGAGCTCACTGCGCTTGATGGCCCTCCCGGCATCAGCAACCTTGCGGAGAAGGCAAGGGTCATACTTGCATCAAAGCTATAATGACAAATGCTTTATGAAAGATCATCAGTTACCGGTCACCTCCCAGCTGAGTATCCGTCAGTCCAGTCCAGTCATCGGGGCAAGTAAGCCCGTCTTCGCCAGTGAAGCTTGCAAATTCTGGAGGCTAGCAAATGTCACGCAGCACAAATTCAAAGTTTGGAGTCCGCGCCAAGCCTGCTGCGCTAACTTCAAGTATCAGATTATCCAGACGTTCACGAGGGTCCTGAAAGAGGATAATATGGACAGGAGGGGGAATGATAATCGTATTCGATATCATTTAGCTAAAGAGATAGTTCGGGTGTCGGAAACAGCCGTTCGGCTCATTATGTAATGAATTCGGCTACCCTTTATTCCGCGTTTCAAACACCGTACTCCTTACGCTCGTCTGATTCATAGTGAATGTCACTCCCTTTCTTCTGGTTGCATCTCGTTTACCTCTGGAGCCCTCTAGTATTTCTGATTTTTTAAATTAATTAATCTTCGACTGATTCTCTCACGATCCATCTTTCAGTTGATGCCTGAAGGCGAGAAATATAAGGTTTTGTTCAGCGTTCCCTTCTTTTTTGTGCATGTGCCATGGTGGATCATGTTTTCTCCTCTTTAATTCAGTCTCACATATGCCAAGGTTCTGGGCCGGTAACAGGAATTCTCTAAAATCCCGAATGCAGTATATTGGGACGGATTCATTACGTTGTAGCGACTCGCAAGGCACTGTCCAATACTTCCGGGTTCAGTTTCTCTCGCTCATGTCCCCTAAAAGCATTATGTGTACACCCCTGTACACCCTCTTTGTCTAGGTGACCGCTGGAAGTTCGACAGGTACCCGTTGTTGGCGACCCATAGAGCCAAGAAACAGCAACCTGGGAACCCGTGGGAAGGCCGCCGATGACGAATCGTATCGGCAGGTCTTGCTGTTTGTTGCTGAATGTCGGAGTGAGTGCTCGTTATACTCCCAACATATCTGTACTTATCTTGTTATTCTCAGCCGAAATCACTTTCAGTTCGCTGGTCCTCATTGTACCGTCCCATCTTACTGGTTATTTCCTGCTCCTCCTACATCTCATGGAAGGGGGATGGATCAATTTAGCCCTTGCATCGAATCGCGATGATGATTTGTATCGATCCTAACAACCATACCACCATCGTGGCCCTCAACCTTAGACGCCTGCTTACCCACCTCCTCGGACGGACATCTATATCTAGGCTATCTTTCTCATCCAGAAGCTGCCGAAGCTGTTGTTGGGCGCTCATTAAGGCGCTAAGGAAGGTTTGTCAAGTCAATTGGCAGGGGACAACAAAGCCTTCTTTCGTGTACTTGCTGGCTTGTCGATTTGATGATATGTACCACTCGGATAGGCCGATCTAGACCCGCCGACCCACGCCAATATGTGCCAATACACAAAGAGAATGTAATTCATCGTTGAAGATACCACCCACGACAACCATGTTAACAGAAGCGGCTAGCTTCCTCTCCGCGGCGAATGCGTATGACCGGAGTATCTCGAACACAATCCATTTCCCGGTTTCCCACTGGGTCCAACACCTAGGCTGTCTGCCCTCATCATCGAGAATCGGTGTTCTCCCCTGCATTTCATGATCCCCGTCGTATGTTCTCACATCCAAAAAGGCGCGAAGCCCATGGAAGAGTATGAGCTATCAATCTCCTGCGCAAATGTCTCCGTACTGGTTATGTTTATCAAGGAAAAGCACGGAGGCTTTAGAGGCTCGAGTCCTCTATCATCTCCGATCTGCCTCGGCGGCCTATCACATGATGCACTTATTTTCAGAACTGGCGTGCTGATTCAACGTACACATGACATGGTGTCAAAATATTCAAAGCTAGTACTATCGTGGTATGTCCCACGGCACGTGCTGTAAAGCCTCGCATCGTTCTCTGGGCACACGCCTCCCTTTTACCAGGGCATCGCGAACCGTCACTCTTCGACTAATAATACTCGGATGCTTTCTCGAGCAAAGCGTCTCGTCGCAGGAATTCTTTCCCATTTTCATGCCGCCCCTCGGACTTTCCATGCAGCCTTCTCACTATGCGCATATGCTATTGCTGGGAAGACTAGATGGCCCTTACGCCTACACATGGTACTGAACAGCGCCGGCCGAACTTTGGGATATACTCACTGGCACAGAGTAGTGAATTCGGGACTCCGTACGCGACACGGCTTCATAGACCGTGTCAACGCGCAACGAGAACTGGGCTATCCAATGAGAATACTTCTGATCTCGAATAGTCTTAGCAGTAACAGTCGTAAAGCGCTCATATCAGACTCTACGAAGGTCTTCAGACTTGCCCTTCCGTGTCCTTCCGCACCACACATCCCAGTTCCGACGGTGCTATTGGTAGTATTCTGGTCGAGGTTTCGAGCCCCCAATCCGCAGCCCCAGGCCAGTTCCTGAGAAGGCACTCCATGGAAGAAGACTCCTCACTTAAAGGCTCCTTCATCTGTCTCTAGCAGTTAATCGAAGCGAAAACATTGTGTCGATGCACGGACTATACACCGACGTTCATGTCGTGTCATTTCCATGGGAGTATTTAACTTCCTATTACTACCATGCCCGATATCAGGGTTCTGGTTCATCTTCCCAGATCATTTCGGAGCCAATCATATACCATCAATTGCCTGTGTTTATATTTTCAGGCTGCGAGTGAAATGAGACTGAAGGTACTTATATCGAGTTGCTCTCGGTCTAACGTACCCCGCAAACTATTTTGTCTATGAATATGTTTCCAGTACATCTCCCTCTACTACACTCCTTCTTGCCTGACGCCGATGTATCCCCATAGGTTGGTTCGCGCGTCTTCTTTTACGACTCCACGGGTCAACTCGTGAGAGGTGTCGTCGAAGCCACGAGCCGTATGGCAGACGTGAGTTTCGTTCTTTTCCAAGAGCCTTCGCTTTCAGCTGAGGCGCTATAGGGCACACAAATGGTTCTCATTAGACGTGACAATGGAGGAACCATGACCTTACCGTAAGTGGGAGTGCTCTTAGTAATGGCGTCACCATCATCTCATGACCGTAGATCCGCAAGCGTCTCTAAAGGTTAGGCGCAGCATGTGGATGCTGTGCTGTGTAATGAGGGGGCTCAGGATTTCATTTGGGTACCCATGACAACGAAAACGTCTCATCTTTCTGTCGGATTATCATATACCCATTTGAGTATCATAGCCTCCATATGGTTGATTTGTTCATCGAGTAAAGCCTTCTGTCAAACGCTCTGTAAGCTAGAATATTCAACACATCAAACGATGGCTCCTAACATATGTACACGGAGTTTTGAGTCCGAAAGGCACAGCTGCAAATACTATACCTGTAACTAGAACTTCGTCAGACATATTATGGATACCACTTCTCATGATTTCTCAGCTGAGCTGGAACAGAAAGATAAGCCAGAATGTCGGAGTGGGACAATTACAGATGTGGGGATAAGTGGTACTTATGCCTACTTGCGCAGCGAGGGGGCGGATTCCAACAACATTCTTTTCCCGGGAAATAGCATCTGAAGCTGGAAAGATGGCGCGAAAAGAAATCTGCGCTGGTGACATACAAGTGTAGTAGTAGAACCCGGCCTTCAAGGGGAAGTGGTGAAGGAAGGACCGGCCCGGTCCAATGCTTGGCTTTTTTTTTTTTACTACCCGACCCTGAGGACACTTATTTTTGATTTTCAATTTAGGTCTTAACTGTACCGTTCCTTCAGATGGTAGCTTTGCAACAGGAACCGTCGACGATAAACGTACAACGTTAACAGCACAATTTGATGCCCGAACGAGAACACAATGGGTCCAATCCCAGGAATACTAATATAAGTATGCTTTCCCCCTGATTCTCTTTGTTCGAGGACTTATTTTACAATCTTTCTCTCGCTGCGGTGAGAGATATCCTTTAAGAATCATGGCCAGCAAAAGGCGATGATATGGTACTCGTGTTCTTTAATTTTCGTATCTTCATCTGGCTTTATAGCCCTGCAAGGCGCAGTATCTCTCCGCAGGGTAGAATGAGATGGCATATATGTGCTGCCCTTTCATTGCGGATGGACCGGATCCGTGGTAGTCCAGGTGTCAACGTAACGCTCATTTGTAAACGAAAGCTCGCTATATCACTCTCCCCTTCTCAATTAATCTTTTGATTGTAGTAGGACCGATGAACAGCCACGCCGCGTCTCGAGGCCTGTCCCGGGGGCCCCAATCGAAGTCGAACTTTGATCCATCCACTACCAATGGAATGCTTGTGTTCTCAGCGCAAATAGCGCATCAGTAGATGTGGATCTGATCGGCCCGAGCGCGGAGTCCCTGGTTGTGGGTCGGTGCTATAGATGGAGTTGTCACCTCTGTTGGCCGGCGTTCTTGTGTTAGTTGCTAGCTACTGGCGCAACTGCTTTGCTTCTACGTGTCATCGCAACCTTTATCCGAGGCACCTGTGTACTCTTCACGAAGTAGCGAATATCATTCTACGATTCTACGTGTTGACGTCTTTCTTGAATGTAACTAATCATCGGAGGTATTCTCCTATTTCGCTCGTTCTCATGCATTACCCTCGCACTCGTTGTAGAAGTCTTCCTCGCTACATTCAACTCTATCAGACCCGGTCCGATTCATAATGGACTTCATAAAGTTTAAACATTGCCGTGGAGCTCGAATTAGAAGTATGACTGCCGTTCTGTCATTGACCTCATTCTGTTAGAGTTCATGCTCCCATATATTACTTCCTGGGATTCCGCAACGAACCCTTCTCCGTGGATGGTGGTAGAGATTCATTTCACTCTTACCTGGAGTGGCCGGTACTCAATGCTAGGGAGACAGCGTCGATGAGGAATACTCGGCCTAAATTCGGTCAATCAAGAACATTGGAGTTGATATTTGGGACGGATGCGGAACATACCGGCGATGGATTTTCAGGGCCGCCGTATCCGCCAAGGCCCATGGAAAATCCGTACTTATTCCCAGCTGGGCATTTTGGAGGGTGCAAGCGTCAAGATCGCGTCGCCGTTTCACTTGGCTTCACTAGGCGATGAAACCAGTCAAACCACCGAATTTTTGAAGGTGAAGTGAATATTTTCGAACTGCCAACGGTATGTCCGATTTTACGTCCATCGCTCAATGCTGACACACGATTAATTTTAGATAGACAGATTTTGCCGAGCCGAATAGTTGAACGAAGTTCGCGTATTATCAGCTAAAGTTGCAGATCAAACCTGTTCAATAGTTTAGTATCTCACAAGCGTGCACTGGCCGACGTCGATCCCAGTTGTCCTACGAATTTCTAACTAAAGAGTGCCGGAAAGAAATCGGATTGGCTACGGGCTGTTGATCGTGCCGCACCATCTGTTTGGGGCAGACATCGACAGAAGTCGCACCTCTCGATGGCGGTGTATTAGCATGCAGCTGCATGCTATGATCGGTGCTCAAAGCCGCCCTGGATATTCGCTCCATCAACAACACGTGTATACCATGCGTCGGCTATTCTAGGTCCGCTGTAAGTACTTGCGTCTTCTCTTACCTCACGCATCCATTTCGTTGGTCAAAGATTCCTCGTCTGGGCGGAAATTATAGCTTGCCGATGTCGAAATTTGCCAAATCCTTCCCTCCTTGGGTTGCCTCGGATCGTTTCGATAGGCGTTCTTCATTTCTCCATCTATCTACCGGCCCGAGTTATGGTTGGTATTTAACACTTTGCCCACCACCACAACATCCTGCGATACACCTTCCTGCTACCCACCTTTGCGACACCTAACCCTCATGGCATCTTACTTTCGCAGTCTCTTTGGAGGCAGTTCCTCTTCAAAGAAGCGACGCGCGTCGCTCTCAGAGGATCCCAAACCACAGCGACGTTCTCATTCCATACCTTCGCGCCTGGAAATATCTCCCAATGCCTCATCTGTGGGGCACAATCCAACAAGGAAAAGAAGCTCTTCTTTGTCATACGTGGCATCTCCGTCCGAGAGTTATTCGTATGCGTCTCTGCCCGCGCACACCAACAAACATGGCCGTCATTCTCGAGAGCCTCGTATTGTCAGTTACAACTACGACAGACGTTCGTGGTTTACATACTTTTCATTTATTCAATGGATCGCTGACTTCAAGTATAGCTGCCCCGTACGCGATTTACCTTCCAACTATGTCCTCGCAAAGTAATCATTCCCGTACAAACTCGTCGATTTCATCGCCTACACCCGATTCATCTCCCAAGACGAAGAGGACTAGCACCAGTCACTCCTCACCTCGCCCCGTTTTGAAGAAGACCTCGCACTCGAATCCACACACGGGTATCCAGCGTACGTCTCTTCTTATTCCATTTCTCATCAAAGTAAACCAACACTTTCCAGATCACGTGTCATTCGCTAATCCCAACCGCCCTGAGGTCCTCCACATGCACCCTGTCTTCGCGTCTAGTCAACACTACCACGCGCCGATATGGTACGACGTGACATCTGCGCCGTCCTCGAAGTCCGTCATCGACCGAAAAACTCGGACACCTATCCCTGCCCACACCCTATCTCAACCCGCGACTGATCCTGCAAAATCTGACAAACTCGTGCTCAAGTGCAATAAACTCTCGTGGCCAGTGGTTGTGCACGCTGACGGAAGAGTGTTGACGAACTTTGATCTCCTGTGCGCCGTGCACCGGACCTTGTCGACGAGGGTGACGCACAGAGAATGGGAAGCACTAGGACATGGCACGCATGCGCAGTTGAAGGCGGCGAGGGCATACGAGGCGCGGTGTAAGAAATTGGGAGGCGGGTGGGATGGTGGCGTTAGGAGGATCGACTGGCTAGGTGAGAAGACGTGTCTGATTGGGGTTGAGGTGGAAAAGACCACTGGGATTGGGAAGTTGATCTTTGGGAAGCCCTGAATGCGACAACACTTTGATGTTGATGGTAAACCATGTTTCCTTGGATCTTCTATTTGGTGATTATTCTATGATAGTGATATTAGTTAGCATAGGTACTGTAAGGACTGGAATATGGTAGCTAGTTTTTTAGGTACGTGGAATGTACTGGACTTTACGATATAAAAAAAGGAATACGTGCTCTGGATTTCAGGATTTTGCCCTTACATAAATGAAGGACCGCCTTGATCTCAGCATGCTCTTCTAGGAATACTTCAGAGAGATCTGATCTCGTTCTGGTCCCTATCAGAATCCGTGCCTCGCGGATTATCCCAAGCGTCATCTTAATCGCCTCACTGGTAATCACTATCACTTCAAGCTTCCCTCAGCTGAGGTGTCTACCTCAACCTATCCGTTCAAAACGAACCATCTGCTTCAATGGGCCCCTCGCGATGGATAGTTGGAATAATTGTCAGAGCTATTATCTGACGGCAATGGAGTAAACTTGAACAAGAACGCTCGCAAGGTTCTATATGAAGAAGAATTGAAACAAAATGGAGAGGAGACAGGGAAGATCACGCATATATAATCTCCCCTTACACAGGCAGGAGGCGCGCAAGTAGGGCGGAGGTAGAATAACAGATGCACTACGGCATACGCGTCTTGTTGATGTATCACATCCGCAGTGGCCTCGAGCACTGCAATAAAGACGAGGCGTTGTATGTAAACGAAGCAAAATACAGTTGAGACATCGTGGTTAGACGCGCTGATTCCGGCCTGGAACAGATGATACAGTTCAAATATGGCCATCTATCTCTCTTCATGGCAGAATACAGATACTAGATGCCCCCAGCAGCCCCCTCGTTCTCGCCAGATTAACTTGAAGTGAAATATCTGCAAACTTTCCCTTCATAAATGCGTTTTAAATAATTCTTGATCTCGGCTTATGTTAAGGGAGAGATAAGCGAACGGCAGGTCCGCGAAAACTTGAAGAAAACTAAAAAATCACAAGAAAAATGCACCGTAAGTATTATCTTTTTTAAAGCGGCGGCTATGTGCGAATCTTAATTTTTGCTTCCTGTCAATGCCAGAAAATGAGTGGCTGACGACATTACGTCATTCATACCTATAGTCGGCCCGGTACCGGCAAATCCAATTCACCTTTAACCGTCATCTCTTATGAACGAAATACCCCAGCAATTCGCCCTCACAGTGGCCTTTGAGCTTGAAATATTCGATAGTACAGGGAGCGCAGTCAAGTTTGGCTCTCTTCTTCCCTCGGATGTGGCGGGGAAAGTTGTCGTGGTTTTCATTAGCTGAGTCAGCTCGCAGCTAGCGTCTCAAGCATCCTGACTTTGGCATCAGGGCACTTTTTCTGTGGAGTACGTGATCATACAATGGTCATTTACATCTTTCATTGATACCGAAATCATTCCAGTCATGCAAGGTACATGAGCCTTCCGTAACCTTCCGTTCGCCCTCATTTCACTTTTGTACAGCAATATGTGGAACAGCTCGCTTCTGTACCAAAAGAATCCCTCGATAAGTCCAACGTTCGAATCATCATAATCGGATGCGGGCACTCTGACGCTATCTCGGTCTACAAAGGTATGTAGCACATCTTGGAATATTCAGAAGTGTTCACAACAACTTCTATGTCAGAATCTACTAAATTTCCGGGCCAGATCTATGCAGACCCAAGTCGGAAATTGTATCATGCCCTCGGTATGAATATAGAAACCCTCGCCGCAACACCGGCTTGGAAAGAGAAACGCAGTTATCTGAAGCTTGGCACGTTCTCCAACGTTGTATCTAGTATCTTCGTAGGTCTATCCCTAAAACTCTTGTATCCTACTTTTGGATTCTATGTATCACAGAAAGGACCACTCCAGACTCCCGGCCTCATCGGCAAACAAGGCAATATATCCCAGCTGGGCGGCGACTTTGTCTTTGGACCAGGTAAAAACCTGCTCTGTTTTTCGTCGATTTTGCTGATGGAGGGTATAGGAAAACATTGTATCTTTGCCTCTCGTATGCAGCATACGGAAGATCGTGAGTACTTCCATATGTTTATAGGCCAATTTTCACGGTGTGATAGATGTCGAGGTCTCGGAATTGATGAAGCATGCTGGCGTTGATTTTTGAACGTGTAATAGTACTAATAGCCTTTCGTTGTATATTCATGAATTGGGCTATCCGCGATTCCGCCGTCGTTTCCTATAAGAGGGTCCCGGCTCGCGTCATAAAACGACGTGTTGCGGTCTTTTGCGAGTCGCATTTGCAGACGTATCGGCAGAGTGAGTCGGGCCGGCGAGCTGCACAGGATCATCGCAAGAACACGTGTTCCATGCTTGACTAATCAGGTACGAACAGTCGCTACTGAAAGAGTATTAATAAAGTTGATCTCGAGCTTTTAGGCTCTCAATTTCCGCTTAGTGGTTTATTCATTACCAGGACTACCCGCTAAACCCTATCCACTTAACCTTTTCCTTCTTGAAAACCACGAACTTGAAAGGACTTCTGTGCTCTGTTGCTGTGTACACAAATGAAGCCGCGTGGTGTCACTCAGGGACGATCGAAACTCTTTGTGCCCTTTCAGTGCAGTGCCGGCATGTTCGACTTTTTCGGCGCTTAACGATTTCTTGTCCACTTCTAGCCATGAACAAACCGACCTCTTCCTCGAAAACAACCATGACACCCTCCGGGAACTCGAACGATGCAACAACAGCTTCCCTCGAGCTCGCAAAGGTTATTGTTGCGGTCGGTGAGATGGTGCCACTGGTTGGTGGGTTCTTCAAGGGCCTTGGTGGAGTTGCTGTAGTCTTCCTAACGAACTTGGAAGTTAGTTGTGTTTCCGTGGCCTTTCTGCACTTCTAACAGTATCTCGGCAGCTATTTCAAAAGAACAAGGAGGACGTGCAGGATCTCGCCAAGGATATCACCGATATCTTGATAATTGTCCGCGACGCCGGTATCAAGATATCTGCCGTACCTGAGGGTGTCACATATATCGAAGATCTTCGAAAAGCTTGCTTAGAGTTCCAGGAGTAGTTATCCTTCCAGCCTTGAGCGAATATCCAGTTCTAATATATATTGGTGCAGGTTTCTGTCCAGTCTCACAACTCAGGTGCGCGACATCGACCGAGGTCGAAGGGGCCCTTGGAAAGGCATAAGACAGTTTATAACTTCACGGAACGTCAAAGGGGAAATCGATGGTCATCGCCAAGCCATGGAAATCGCCAAGTCGAACCTAATGGTTTGCTTTCGCGGTTCAATAGGTTCACTCCGATATTCTGATGGAATACTCTCATAGCTGTCTCTGACATTGAAATCTAATGCATCGATTTCCCAAATAAACCATGGAATCTCCTCTCTTCAAACTTTGCAAACTGACCTTATGACCGTCACACATGATATCCAGCGTGACGTATCTCACATGAGAGCAAATACAAGAAATCTGCTGGTCAACAAGAAGGTTCATTTCATCATATCCTTTGTCCTTCCAGCCCCTACGGCCGATTAATGATCCCCTAGTTCCACAGTCTACTTTACGGCGATATTCAGCTTCGGGAAATAAGGGCCAAAAATGATTTCAGCGAGTTGTACACGAGAAGGACGGGTGAGGTCGTCACGTTCGTGGCGGATGTCTCTACATCGAACAGTGCCATGGTCGTGAAGGAGTATTCTGGAGATCTGGGACTCGTGGTAAGTCCATAAGTGCTCGAATCTCCTGTCGATGAAACTCAGACAAACCAAGGCATGGAGGAAGCAGTTGGAGATTCATAGTCTGGCTGAAAGGTAGGTGGATTGCTTCTTCCTCCTACGGAAATTGACTGGTAAAAGACATCCGAACTTGCGCCAACTATACGGCGTTGTTCAGTCCGGACCTACGCCTTGTCTGATATTCCATGGAAATACCGGTATGGATTTTGAGTGTTCTCACATTGACGTGGCTCATTGGGCTCTAGACGAAATGGCATTGACCGAGTTTCCAAAGCTCTTTGACAAGCGTCTCGAGCTTCTCGCACATTTTGTACTGGTATGATTCATACGAAATTCAGTTGCCGTCCTCAAACTGAACCGTCCACAGACTTATGGATTCCATGTACGTCTCGATCCTTCAGCTATAAACCAGATACCCGTTTGACCAGAAATCCTGCAGAGCGCCTTTATATTCTCACTAACGCATCTTCAAGTAACCTTTGTGAGCAGCGGTCTTCATCTCAGCTCATTCCATAGCCAGCACTGAATGTATCAACATTATAGGGCTTCAAAGACGTGCGCTGTACCATAGATGGGCGTCTCTTATTCGACGACTTACAAGTCTCGCCGATATGGGAAAAGCTTTACTACAACGACCTCGCTGACTTGTTCCGACCGGTTTCACCAGAGATACAGGGTTCCCTCGATTTCTTTGTGCGACACCGGCAGGCGCCTTTGATTGTAAAGGAGCATCTCTTGTCTTACTACGACGTGATTTCCGTGGGGGCATCACTTCATGGGAATGTTTCTTTCCCCCTTGATCATGACACCCTGTTCGGGAAGATCGTTGTAAGCGATACCCTGTCAGGTCGTCACTTCATGATAGATTGCCCTGAGTATGAACCTCTGTCCGTTGGAATCTCCATGTTCCAACATCCGGGAGCTGGGAATCTTCTCGAACTGCCGAATGGCCTGTGGCGGTACGTTCGATTACATCGCTGATGGTGAACCTGCTAAAACGAATCGGGTTACAGATATACGTTGTCGGAAAATATCAGAACTATCGACTTGATTTGCTCCATAAAACTGACAACCCCAGCAAAACGCGAACTTTTCTTCCACTGGTTCTCACAGGGCCCACGAATTTTGGCTCAGATCGGCATGGTTTCCGACGATCCCCTCCCGCAGCTGATCGTTTCTCAAAGTATGTAGCCCTAGTCCCCAAAGCGACTGAGGTCCTCTAAATCTTCTCTAGTTACGCAACGGTATTTTCAAATTTGTGTAGAAGCAGACCCGAAGGTCCATCGGCCGCCCACGAGCGATCTGTACTTATTCATTGGCGCGCCTTTTCCTACCGACAATCAGCAGGTGTGTGTTCCGGATGTTTACCTTTCAAGCGATCCGCATGGTGCCAAACACGGAGAAGAACACGCATCGGATAATGTTTATACGTATTCCGTGGAACATATCGGCCACGACGTGCTGTTACACCCCCCTCTCAGCCTTGACTGCAGCACTCTCCTCCACGAGATTTGTGGTTTTCATCCTATGAGCCTCGACGTCGCAAAATACTTGGATCAATCGGAGTTGAGCATACATCTTATCCAAGACGAAGGTAATGTCGACGACGTTACGTCTAATAACTTATGCTGACACCTCCTTTAGCAATGAAGACGGAAATAACTAAGGGTCTTACCGGATGTTCTTTAATAGCTCAGACCGCAAGCGTTGTGCCAAGTGAGTAGTGCCCACAGCACGCCTGCCTGGATTGTATTAGGCTAATTTCCCTATCAAGGGGAGCAACTCGAAAGATACTCTGACATGCTCGAGGACCTTGAATCAAAATATAATCATGATGCTTCGTCGGGGAGTGATCTATCACATTCAGAACTTCATATCTACGAGCTCGAATCAGATGGAGTTATTATCCCCGAAGGTGAGCGGGAGCGTCACATTTATATGCTACATGAAACTGACGAGACTACATATGCAGATACGTCCGAATCTTCTGGTAAGTACTACTTCTGGATTGATTATCGCATGATGTTCTGACGCTTGCTGTCGCAGCAATCCTTTCGCCGATCTCCCGAATATTTCTTGGAATTTTTATTCTCGGTAGTATTATCGCTGTTCTCGTTGAATCGATACTTATCCGAGTCACCGTACTTATTGGATTCTGTCTTTATGCTTGTGGATATCGTTTCTAACATGTACTTAGTATCGTATCAGAATGCGGACTTGCAAGACGATCTTCTCATTACATGATTTACGTCCCTTGAATGACTGTACAAGCAGTGATCTGAGGAGAAAAGAGTAGGACAATAAAATGACGAGTGGGCTGGCTTCGAGACTGATGAGGGAAATCTCGCTGTGGTACACGATACAGTTTTTCACATAAATGACGGACAGCATAGTATGACATCAACATTCTCTATCTCATACGCGATTCACGTACAAAATGCCTCAGGACCAGCCCGCTTATGATTTCTCTGTTTGCATGTTAATTAGTATCCTTCTGTAACTCTCCCACATACAAAACATATCAACAGCCGGCCTGTACATATTAATCATGTATCTCGGGTTTGTATTCGGCATGCCGCTTGTGACTGGAGACAAAGAATAGCTGTTAGCATGAAATGACCAATAATAAGCTTACTCTGAAGAATCAGTAAGCGACGGTGAGATAGATACAAGGTAATCATCCACTATACCTGAAATTGCGCCTAGAAGCGCGCGAAGTCCAGAAGCATCCGTATCGCTAGCTGTACTACAGATGATCACCACCAATATCGTTATATGAGAAAGGCATGAGCCACTTACTGAATGTATATCCTCCGATCCCCATGTCTACCGAATGTGGTGATAGCCAGCCTCGCGAAGCAGTCCATGAAGTATTCATGACCAGCCTGGGCATCGCCGATGCCTGGCACTCCATCGAATTCCTACAGCCATTTGTGGCACTCATAGAGCATTGACGTGTAGGGAAGTACGAAAAAGAAAGAAACGCGAGATATTTCAGAGAGGTACTTTTTTCTCAAAGACATCGTTCTTGTTGAAGAACAGGATCTGAGAAACTTATTATTAGAGCTTCGAACTGGGACGAATGTGGGCTCACTAAAGGGACGTGCTTGAACAATTGGGAATTATTTATAAACTTCCACTCTCTCATGGCGTTTCCCATGACGTTCTAGAAGCAGCGTAAGGGTATGAAAGGGAGACAGAGGGCTGCCGAAACTACGAAGTGTTCCGGAGAAAGTTGATCGTACGCGATCAAGTCGACGACGAACAGGATACCCTTCAAGGCCGTTAAATCACACGCGTCCTCTTTCCACCGATTGTCCATCTCGACCAAAAGTAACTCTTTCTGTCCGAGATCCAAAGTCACTTCATTGCACACGGAAGGGAGGTCCTCAGTTCCAGCCTTGAAGCTGTCGTTTGTTTCGGTCCCGGAACGAACACTCGTATTTTGCGGAGAGAAGGATGAAACCTGCATGTTCTGAATCATGTAAATCATAGAAAGACGTGGTAGATTGATGAATCGGAAAAAATCTTAATAATGGTCGATTTGCCTGAGCCGGATAAGCCCAGGACGAGGACCTGAGTGGCTTTCTTGCCCTATTTCAATTTCAGAACGTGACAACACGTATCCAAAGCGGAAATGGTTGTTGGTCACTCACATTTAGGTGGAGGAAGGACTCTGGCTAAAAGTGAAAAAAGGTTGCTCATCAGCTACATTTGACTTTACTTAAAGGGACTAAAGTAGTCCCTCTTGTCGAATATCTAATACTGTATGGTTATTGCAAACATGCACCGGACATAAAAGAAGAAAGAACTATCACTAGTCCCAGGATGATAACAACCTTATTCATGCGCTGCATTGTACTCCAAAATTCATGGAAATCATGTTGTAATTCCACAATAACAATGGCCTCAAGACATTAGACCATTGCAAGACATATCCATTCCAACATATGTCAAGGAAACACACAATTATGGAAAACCCAATGCCAGAACCAGCAATCAACATACCGCGCGTTTTCTATAAACATTCGAGTCAGTCGTTGTTCTAGTCAGATAGATAAACGCAATACCAGCGAGTCACGATGGAAATTCTAAAAATGAACATAAAAACAAAAGCTGCCCGTAAGAGCACCGAATGAAGAATCGAGAATATAATGGCGACCGAACTTGATGTTTACACGTTAACGGTCGGACCGAACATCAGCTGGCGGAGAATACGCTTTGCGGACAAATCCAGACAGAGACCTATGCTTACAGACGTATCGATGTGAGCTCAACGTAAGAAAAATTCGCTGCCAAATCAGACATCAAACCGAAATCGGTCATGACATAAACCATTCTTCTTCGCCTGGACTTTTCCAGTGGCTTCGCGTTGATGCCTGCATGACCATCGCGGCAACGTGGGCGATCACTGCGTCTGCGATGGCGAAAACCTCCTAAATGTGTGTACTTGTAATCAGACCGCAGTGCAAGTCATAGCCACATTCCATGAAGTAAATGTTGACTCACTGACAGTGATATCTAGGCGAATGATTTCCGACGACAAGGATGGGCGACAGTGGACACGGACATCATCAATAGCCTTTCTGGGCTAAGGAATCCATCGAGAGGCGGGACCAAGGAAGAGAATTGAGGAAGTAGGAATGGAAGAGTGGATAAATGTCTGCCAGTGTACATGTAGGGATGAGTTTGTGTGATCAGCAAAGTTGCTTGGAGATCACATATCAGCACTGCTCTCTGGGAGGTCGGGCAATATCTATGAGTAAATACGATGGCCTTCGAGCCGGTATAGAGACGAAGATGCACATTGCTGTCCTGTATCCTCGAAGCAGATGACATCCCATGGATGGCGGAATGTGTCGTCGGCAGCGGTGGCGACCGGCTCTCTCTAAACCTTCTGAGCGACACTACCCATTAAGATGGTCGATTTTGACTTTGTGGCATCCGCCGTTCGAGGCTAATGAGCCATTTGAACCGTGAACGACGCCTGCACAAACGGATGCTGGGTCCTTGTGTAGTAGGGTCGGAGTAACGAATATGGTATGTATCATCAAACGGCTTCTATGGCCTGCATTAGCTGGAGGTAATGAGGAGCCTGGGGAACGCATCTTTGTATAGTAGGGCCAAAGAACGGCTGACAAAGGAATCACTACCTCTCCTTCCACTGCATACATTCTGCCATTGAAACGACCCTCCGTTTCCACAACCTTCTACTAGTAGGATCGACAAGCATCCAGATATCGCGGTTCTTTAAACAGAAACGTAGTGGGCAGAGCTCATGAACTTGGTCGTAACGATGACGCTTTGGGGGTCCCAGCACTAATTTCTATCCACGGATACGCAGCATCCTTGGTCTCCTTTTGCGCCTCGTATATGCGGTCGCAAAATTGATGGGCGATGCACATATTGGACCACTAAGTCAACGAGACTGGAACGCCACCACCGCCATCATCAATACTAGCAAGGTAAGGTAACAGATGAGAATACGTGATGTTCCTGCTAGAAACTCACAGCAGGTCAGCATATACTCAAGTTTCGTCCTCTTTTCCTGACACTGTCGATAAAACCAGCGCCGTTGCGGCGTTACTGAAGGAAAATATGCCAAAGAGAGAGTAATGAGGTAGTAATGAAAAGATCACGCTAGGGAGGTGGCAGGGGCTTGCATGGGCTGTCGTGAAAGAAGATCAAGCTCAAAAACAGGTATGATGATTACATAACTTCGGGCCGAACCCCCCTGCCTCTTTCTTCGCGACAACTTCATGACGTCGCCCCTCCGATGGGTTAAACTCTTGTCAAGGCTTTCTCTTTGTTAATTGGGTCCTAAAATATAAAGCCAATGCAATGATTACTATCTGATTATCTCTTGGTGCCCTCCAGGAATGATTAATGACTTGTCGAAAGTACTAGGTATGTACATCTTCGTTCCACTGACTTCTGCTAATATCCTGTTCCAAGAGTTCCAAGGGCTTTCTGACCTATGTATATGGAACATAACACACTTTACGGTGATTACTTTTCAGCCGATCCATATCAATAGCTGTCTGTTGTATATACAGGGACGATATTGCAAATGTTATGGTATTTTTATGTTCCGGCGCGTTTCTTTGGCGGGAAACAGGGAAAGGAGATAACCGGCGTCTTCGAGCGCAAACGTTTCATGTGTTGATGGGCCAGCTATAAAGCACCTCTAGGCTCTGGTTTTATACTCCCTAACTGACTACCGTCTAGCCCTCAGTGGTAGGCGTAATCCCTTTGCACGCCGACATAACCGTATCGTTACAATGACCTAGATGGCACTTCGGAGTTTCAAGTGTTCTATTCTGATATACTAGTATCATGAAACGATGTACGTTATGGCCAGTCATCTAGACGTCAATTATCCATGGTCTAACTCGACGTAGGCAGGTGCATATCATTGGATATGCTACATTCCGTTACCAACCTTGCCCCGCAACGGGGCATAAGCGGTCCTAGTAGGGGCATAAGCGAAAAGCGCTCAATGTCAGGTACAAATCTCGCTTCTTGCAGAAAGCTTAAGTAAAGCCTCAATTGACTAATCTATCACGATTCGTATTCAATAGGGTGAGCATCGCTTTCGGAACCGATTGCTGTGATTATCTTTTTCCACTGATATTAGCAAATAGTGGTACTCCTGTAGCTATCCAAGGACGACAAGGATATCTCTTTTGTAGCAACGAGGAGCATCTGTCTAGCAATGTGCTACCACCACCATTATTGTCGCCGACTCATGGTACCAATTCCCCTTATGAGCGCCAAAACTGCCATTTTATGACGTGAAGTAAGGGCGACTCTTTCATCACCTCATGCCCGTGGACAACGGATCAAGAGCCTATGTTTATCTTATCCAGATCGTGCGTTCCCTTATTATATAGACTGAAATGTTTCATATCATCCATTTCATAAAGTGATTACCCATTTGTACCAGCGCATGCATACAGGTACCCGTCCCTCCCGCTCAACATACTAAAAGCCGGGACGAGACTTTATTGCTGCCTGATCCGTCTTGTACGTGCCGATGCTCGAGGGCGCTATTAGACGCATGAAGACATTTTTTACGGTCGCTCCACAGCTATCGGGAAATACTAATCAACAAGCCAAGTTTTCCGGCAGAGTATAAATGCATTGCAAGGTCATGCTTCTAGAGCACCCGTCTCACAACCCTCTCGCTACTCCATTTCCTTTCCCCTTCTCTTAATGTATATATTTCTCTTGGGTTTTCTTCTGTCGTTCCACTCTGCCAGGTCACTTGAAGTTTTTGGATCCTCTGGCGATCTTCACATCGTTAACAAGGACATCGCGCCAGACGGTGTCACAAGATCGTGAGCAACAAACCGCTTCTCCCATGTAAAATATTATTTCTCATTAAGTTTATTCCAGGACCGTACTTGCAGGTGGAGTCTTTCCAGGTCCCTTGATTTACGGGAACAAGGTAAGAATTCTCCTGATCCATCCGAATAGGCTTTGATATTCTTGACAGGGAGACCAGTTTAGTATCAATGTAATCGACGATTTAACGAACACCACCATGGGTGTCAGCACCAGCGTCGTAAGCGCTAACATGATTGATAATATATTTATCTCATTCCCTATGCTGCTAGCATTGGCACGGTATATCCCAGCACCGAACAAACTACGAGGACGGCACCAGTTTCGTGACGCAATGCCCCATCTCAGCCGGACATTCATTCAAATACGAATTCAGAGTCCCTAAACAAGCTGGAACGTTTTGGTATCACTCCCATATCGGAGTGCAGTACTGTGACGGCCTCAGGGGACCGCTGGTCGTGTATGATGGCCCAAATGGCGTAAACGATCCTCATCGCGCTTTATACGACGTGGATGATGGTATGTTTCTTGCACTGTTATGATGATTTCGGTACTGACATAGTTTTTCAGCAACAACTATAATTACTCTGGCAGACTGGTAATTTTCCGTCGTATGCCTATCGAGCTCTTTCCTGAGGCGAGTTTAGGTACCACGACACCGCTACCCAGATAGCCGAGACTTTGCTCCCTCCGTTGGCCAATTCTACCTTGATCAACGGAATGGGTCGATTCTTTGAGAACGTCAGTGCGGCTATTTTTTAAAACTCGGAACACCCTAACAAGCTATGCTGACAGCCCACGTCCCCTCTCGCCTTGGTCACCGTATGTCCTAACAAGCGCTACCGATTCCGAGTCCTCGCCATCTCTTGCGATCCCAACTTTACTTTTTCAATTGACGGACATAACCTCACTATCATCGAAGCTGACGGTGTCAACACACAGCCGCTGACAGTGAACTCAATTCAGATACTGGCCGCCCAGCGGTATTCCGTCATCTTGGAAGCAAACCAGCTGGTGGATAACTATTGGATCCGTGCCGCGCCCAACGACGCCGGTCCTCAAGGATTCGAAAACGGTATTAATTCCGCGATTCTGCGCTACGAAGGCGCTCCAGACACGGAACCCACGACCTCGATACAGTCAAACGTTATCCCGCTTCTCGAGACCGACCTGCATCCACTGGAATCTCCTAGAGCGCCGGGAAGACCTGTTCCCTATGGCGCTGATGTTGTACTGAATTTCACCCTCGGGTTCGATGGTGGGCTATTCTCCATAAACGGCGTGCAGTTTATTCCTCCGACCGTTCCTGTACTGCTCCAAATCCTTAGTGGTGTTCAGCGCGCCCAGGATCTCCTTCCAAACGGAAGCGTATTCGGTTTGCCGCTGGGAAAGGTGATTGAGATCAATTTCTTTGGGGACCACGCATTGGGGGATCCCGTGAGCCTTTTTTCTCCATGATTTTTTTTACCTATAATCATGATCGTCCAGCATCCCTTCCACCTTCATGGGGTGAGCATATTATATTCTCTTGGCCGTCTGGAGTTGTTGACCAAGTGTTTAGCATACTTTTTATGTAGTGAAAAGTGCTAACAGCGATGTATATAACTTTGTTGACCCGGTTCGTATGGTTACCTCACTGGTTGGTTCGCGGTGCTAATTGGTGTGCTCATAGGTTCGCAGAGACACAACCGGAGTTGTCCAAGGTGGGAAAACGACAATCCGATTCGTGACAGACAATGCGGGACCTTGGTTCTTGCACTGGTATGTACATGTCTGTATGTATCGATCGAACACATGCTAATAAGTAACGCCAGCCATATTGATTTTCACCTTAACGCGTGAGTGTTCTGTCAAGCTAATTCATGGTTTAACTAACATTGGTATAGTGGTCTCGCCGTCGTTCTTGCTGAGGGGATTCCAGATATTAGAACTACAATCGATCCTGTAGCTGGTGAGCTCCAGTTAAATTTCAGATCCATCGTATCCTCGATTCACCCCTCTGTCCTTTAGCTTGGGATGATTTGTGTCCCATCTACAATAGCGTTTTTGCAGAACAACATTAGTACCATACGATCAGTCAGCTCAGTTGATATCTTATCTCAAATTATTTCGCTGGTCAGAGTATACTGTAGCCAGATTCGACCTAGGCAGGAGATTCTGTGGATGAGTCATGCAGGACAAAAAGAGAAATAGCACGGACGAGCATAATTTAGCTTATCATTGGCATCCAAATACATCATCGCAAATGAGATCCAACACTCAGCCATGGTTTCACTCAGTTTTCTAACCTCCCAAATATGAAAGGAAGATCTGAACCATATGGCCCTTAAATGACTGGCCACTATCCAGCTTGTCATCCCAGGAAATAGAGACAATAAACATTGAGGTGGAACGATGGGAAAACGATAGGAAAGTAGATACCTCGTTGTGCGCCGTATGCTGTATGATCATATGTCCTTGACTATCTGCAACAATGGCACCTCTGACTTCCATCTTCATGTTCTCGTAGTGCCGTAGACTCCCTCGAATACTTTGATTTCTCTGAACAGATGATATCAAGATAAGAAGGGTCTTTAGTTTCTAGAGGTTGGGGATCAGTGCGCGAAAGAGTGGTTATGTTAAGGCCACGGTTAACTCACCTTGTTCCAATGTAGTGAGTCCCACTACATAGAAATATTATTACAGCAGAAGATAGATTCTTGAAAGTTTTGAGGTGGCGAGCCTTTCGAATCTGGAGAAAATGCCTGGATGGAGATGTTAGATGGGAAAAGGCCTTAGCCATGATGGACGAGAGAAATAGTACATACGAGAAACTAAAATAGGTTGAAATGGACATTATTGGGGATATTGGTGAGCCGGAGAGGCATGAAAAAAGAAGACGAATGCAGAAGACGAATGCTTACATGCAGTGAGAGAGCGCAAATGCTGCCTGATCACAGCAAAGTCATGGTATGAGCATCAACACCGACCGATGTTGACGTCGAACCACCATACATGACAACTCGAGAAGGAAGGGGCGGAGGGCATGAGACGCGCCATCACTTTCAGCCGATAACCAGAGGGAGGAGAAGATCGAGCGGCAGAGTTCGAGTGGCTACTCGAAGGAAGAGACAGAAAAGAGATAGCGGACTCTATGTCAAGAAGAGGAATTCCGTTGGCAGTGCAACCATGGATGTACCATCAACAAGATCGTTAGAGAACAAATACCCTCTCGACGTCACATCTGGATTGGGTCATCTTATCAAGATGTTCACGTACTGCCACTAAGATTAAGAACTGGCTTCCTGGTCTGTACATTAGTATGACATAAAGCTCGATTTGCGGCCTTTCTTCCATCCTGGAAATGTATCTATGCAGTTATTATATTCCTGGACATGGTCTAGTATGACATTACAACAGACATTCATTGCGTTTTTACAATGTAATACTTTTGAACGGAACTTTGAAGAAGCTTACGAACTCTGAGATATGGTGGATGGAACAAATAAGTCTACGACTCTTGATTCGAAATTATAATTACTCTTGAACATTATAGAGCAAAAAACGCCTCTCGAGAGATGCGAACAACCAACATACCCTTCCTCCTTCCTCCGTCATCCCAAATTTTCCGGCGACCCGTGCCGGCTCCTGAACTTGGCATCCTGCCACTTTGGTTTCGATGTTTATCTGGCTTGCCTTCTCTCTAGAACTTAACAGGGGCGCAATGAGAGAGTTCTTTACAGAATGGTCGGGAGTCTGACATGTTTATATGTCAATCATGGTAGGTACATACCACGTCCATTAGGCTTTCTATAATCTTTCTCTGACCCTCCGGAGTCGGAAGACGCATCAGTGTCACATCCACCTTAGGGCAGGATTCGGGGACATCGCTGTAGCTGGTTGGTAGCTTGCCATTGTAGTTTTGCACCGCTGCATCCGTTTGGCCTGAGAACACCTCGACATGGTTCCATCGTTTTCGCTTTGTGAGGTTTCGGTGCATGAGTGGTGGGTGACTCATTTAGCCTGGCCAGATGTCTGCAAAAATGTTCCCTTCTGCTGGAACCCACATGAAGGATTAATCAAGGGGCCCAACGGCCTGGTTAGCCTGCAATATTCTCATCAGTGACCACCATTTGCACTTAGAGCTGCTGCCATCATCTCTTTGCCTTTGTCTTCTCCTTATCAGTTTATCTGTCAATGATGGATGGTCCAGATCCTTCTATGCTACCCGTTTGCCCTTAGTTCAGGTTCTCACAATGAACCTCGAGAACGACGTTGAGTCGTGATAGGACTATAATGCCCGAACCGTCAATAAAAGAGTATGTTCAGCGTAAATTGCCTCGACGATACGTATCGAGAACAGATTCGATTCCTGTGGGTATCGTAAACGTTCATCGGTCCATTGAATTCACCAATATGTTCTATGGGTCCCCAAATGGAGTGAACTCCAACATTCGCCATTATACTCAGACTATGATCATGGTGTGTCACTTATACTCATGTGTCCAACCTTCTATCAACTCTTAGACCTTACGGATGGGCTCGGTCTTGCGACCTGCCACGAGACCGACGATCGTTTCCTCATCCAGTGAATATCGTTCTGTTGGTCGCTCACCAGGCTTGAACGCCAACATTCATCGCCATACGTGGACTATAGTCATGGTATGTCATTTTTGCTTCTGGCTCCAGCCTTCTATTTGTTCACAGACAGGTTCGGTCTCACAACCGTGCCCTAGTCCACTGAATATTCGATACTATTTCAAGCGGTCCTGGCTATTGTGAGGCTCCATGATTTGACTGAGAAGCGAATCTTGGGCGCCTATTTCCAGGGTGATGATGATATATGCCTAACACCGCGGGGCCAATTCAACAACGTGCTAGCCACGATAAAATCTCGCATCGATGTGCAGCATCCCTCACCACGATCACCATGCAGACCCTCATCGACAGCCTCGAACGGTCATTCTCTGAGCTCTCTACAAAGGACGATAAGAAATCGGCGTTCTTGTCTGCCTTGGAAAAGATCGACACCGATTCGAAGGGATCCCTACTTCAGCTTTCGGCCCGCCCCGGTACACCGAAGAACGGCACACCTGTAGAAGATATAAACGAATGGACAGATTTCGAACGCTTAATCGCACGTCATGGGCTCCAAGATGAAATGATTGACATTGCAAGGGCGATATACAGTCAAAGTCGTTTAAAATTCGGGACCAAGATGCCGCCCCCCCTGAGCCGTCTCGGTTGCGCGAATTATGTCGTCTCAAGATCCCAATGTTGCCCCAGGGATGGAATTTTGACCTGTTACGGGTGTTTTCTCGTTCGATATTGCTCGAAAGAGTGTCAATTGGCGCACTGGAGATTCCACAAGAAAGGTAGCCTCCCATAATCTACCTTGGAGAAGCAAAACTGACATCGTTTTAGATTGCAGAAACCCATTGAAATTGGTGTCGTGGTCGCCGGCGTGGATCAGAGAGAACAGGATGCCAGCGTTCGTTTACAGTGACGACGTATCGCCTACGGATATTTCGACGCAATCTACATTTGGAATGGGCATGATTCTGCGAGTTGCTCTCGGGTGGTGTCACACTGTCTGAATACTGATCCTATATTACTAGGTGGGGGAACATCGAGGCGATCGATATCATCAACCCAAAGCATAACGAGGGTGCGGACGACTTGCGGACCCGAGATCTATCGTTGGCCTTCGTAGGTGCGCGCTGGGATCGTTGCTGTCGCTCTGTCCCCGTCTGACTTATAACCGTAGCCTCGGGTGATCTGCGAAACGTCGTAAGGACTGTCAATAAGTTACCAGAGGATTATTCCGGGTCAATTAAAATCGTACTCAATGACCACAATCCTATGGTCGTGTGCCGTAACCTCATGATTCTCTCTATCCTTGGTATCATCGCAGATGTTGTGAGTAAGGATTATGTCGCCTAGCTATCATTCATTAATTTCTTGTTGTAGGAGGAAGCGGCCGAACATGCGCTTCACCTCTGGTACTCCGTTTTCCAGCCTCTGTCTTACGAGACGCGCATCCTTCCACATCTTTACGAGTCCGATGCCCTCAGAAACATCGATGGGACATCCGCTCGGCTGACACCTTCTACTACCATGCACACCAAACTCTCCTCCGATACCGCCAATTTTCTTGTCCATCAAATCCGTTCGACTTTGGATCCTGTTTCCATCAATACCGCCTTAAACAATATAATGAACGCGCCAGAGCGGACTGATTATCGTGATAGGTATTATGAGGCCATCAGGCCTTCTCATAGGGTTGCATTCGAAAGATGGCGATCGTTCGGGCTTGTTCTACCTTTTGGAGCGGCGAACGCTCATATGGCTCTCCCAAACAAATGGCTCTTCATAGATGGCCATCTCATGGTCAATGATAGTGCCAATCCGTTTGAAGGATGGGAGTAAGCATTTGAGTCTACATTCACGCTAATATCCATGCTCACCCTGACTTAGCATGGACGAGATATTCAAAGCGGGAAAAGATCACGGCACGACAGAAGACGACTTGATGGGTTGTCTGTTCTTCTATGTCAAAGACCAGCTCGTCGAGTTCTCCAAGCGACTTCGTCGATTCAAAGTACAGATCTATTCCTTCAATCAAGACGCTAGAGACCTTCCGAGAACTCTGAAAATCCATGCGTCATTCCCAAAAAGCTTCGACCGCATCGAGGTTTCAAATATCGTGGACAAAAATTACGTCGGCATGTCCGTTCTCTCGGACTGGGGACCCATGCTCAACAAATCTAATCCTCACGCGGCCATCATCGGCCTGTTCATGAATTGGCCGGCTTGGAAAGAAGCAGGGAATGCCCTGTGTTCTTCCACAGCTACTAGTCGCGCGTTAGAGAAGATGGCCTCTTGTCCATATGCGGTACGCATTGATTTCATCCATATTTAAGTTCTAACTTCCCGCTAGGGACTTTGTCAGAGCCGTTCCCCCGAGAAAGCGATGGGCGTGATGCGCAGCCTGAATCTGTTTCATGATACATCTCGTGGTTTCGAGGAGTACTTGAAATCTGAGAGGGAGATTGTGATCGCTCGAAAGGTAGGGCTTCAACGTCGGCGCATCCACAAAATTGTGCCACATGTATGAGTTTCTCGCCTGTCTAATGTTATCTATGTTTGACTTTCCTTCATCCAGCGCTGCTATGCGAAGCTTGGTATGGTACAAAGCGAACTCCCAGGCATTGATTCGGCACGATGTTGGTATAAAATGGTGAGTCTTTGATGTTGTTCATGACATTTTCGTTGGCCTTAATGTTATCTATTCAGGCTTCTCTCAGTGGTATGACATACTACGAGCGCTATGTTGAATGGGGATTAATGGGGTTACAGTGATAGTATCTATATGACATAATGAGCTGGACTATCCTAAGATATTAAAATCGGCTCGTGTATCATAGAATCAAAGATCTTAGGATAAATAAACACAGTGCAGAGGCAGCTTAACTCTACAAGACTTTTTGTCCTGGATATTTTCAAGCTATTTTTCTACATAAAGAGAACTTGATGATAAACTAGTAATGATTCTAAACTTCCATGATAAGGATAAACACAGAACCTCATAAGAGTCTGGTTTTATCAGGCAACCTCAGCAATCTAGGTGTCAGTGATGTGAGTGTGTTTTTGGTGCACTTCTGTATGGTTGATAGCACCTTCAGTGCAAGTTATACACTGCAACTTTTCAGTCTGCAATGTTGTACTCTTGGTGAATACAACAATTCAGTGTAGAAGAGTCAGAAGGAATCTCAGCTATCAGGATGAGAAGACAATTAGTATCACTCTTCTATCAAAAATTCTTCTACAAATAAGGAAAAACCAGAGATGGCTTGAGGACAGATACTCTGGTTCTGGTTATATAGTCTGAGAACTGTAGAGGCTATTGGGAATTATCCAAAGGTGCACAAATATTAGTAAGGTAGTTCATGTTAGGATTCTAAAAATAACGAGCTAAAAATATGCAAATGATACTGAACTTGGTAGAGTTTCAGCTTGAAACTTGGCAAATGTGATGGGCTGAGAATACAGTTGAGGTCAGTAATAAATGATTAAGACTGTACTAGTTGGTGAAAGGTAATGCAAGTAGTTCATAAAAACAAACTGACAAGTGAGGGCACAGCAACATGTATACTGAAGCATTGTACAGCTTCAATGATATGCAGATTGGGAAAACCAGAGTGAAATCAGTTCTTATTTCTGTACTATGTCTGTTAATACTTGGAGTTGGCCAGAAAACATAAGCAAGGGCTGTTCATTCTTACAGTTTCTTGGGATCTAGTTTTTATATCTAAGTCCATAAATAAAATCTACTATAGAATATGGTCCTTTAGTAGGACTGTAAGGCCTTGGCTGAGTAAACTACTGATGAGCATATGAAAACAGTGGTTCATTTAACACTGCTGACTGTCCATATTATCACCTTTGTATGGTCAGACACATAAAACCATGATCAGACATTGGTAAAAGAGCCTGCTATGAGACTGCAGAATGTGGGATCTGTCTATTTTCTGGTAGATAACTGTGAAGATATCAGTGTTGTAGAAGTCTTAGCATTTAAACAGCCTTAGTTGATAGCTGGGCAAGTCTGGTTTTATTAACCAGCCTGTTGCTCTAAGTTTAGGGCTTGATGATGTCTATTAGGATCTTGCACCATCTTCATTTAGTGTGACTATACTATATCACTGAATTGGTTAGGATCATCAATGAGCATGCCTGGATATGCTATGTAGTGCTAGTCAGATGTATATCTGAATAGGAGAGTAGAAAACAGTTTTAGGCATATAAAACTGGGTAGTGAATAGCATGAGTATTCTCCAGGTTTATGAAAGGCAACTCATACATATATCTGTTACTGACCTATCTCTACTATGGGTATGAGTTTTGTGCAGGTCAGACAGATATACAGAGGTCAGATGGGTTTGCAGGTAAATATTATTCAATTTTGTATGGAGCTACATGTACAATGTGGCTGACCCTATTATATCTTATCCTATTCCTCAGAAATCATCATCCACATGACACTCACTTTCTGACAAATCTGAGAGGAGTGAGACATCATAGATGTCAGTACTATGAATGAACCCATAAAGGCTCCATTTACCTGAGTACATAAATGCATGTGATGTCTGAGCTGAACATGCACTCAACAAAAGTCACTATCAGGATACATCAGCTATAATATTAACTAGAATATATTATGCAACACACTAGAGATAGAAAGATAATCTAACACCATTCTTGAGAGGTATGAGTATATGCTCTGCTTCTCCTTTCACTGCATCAGAGGTTTGTCTGTAATCTCTGTGTCAGTGGAAAGATAGCAATCCAAGTCATCTTATAGATCAGCATGCTTGGACTGCTTTATGTTGCTTAGATTATCAAAGATATTATCTGATGAATGAGTCTGTAGCTGTCACTGTTCAATGAGTATACACAGGTAGAGGAAGGACATACCTGTGTGCTATCCTGAGAATGGCAATGATCTTGATCATGTTCATATCATGGACATGTGACTGTGAAATTGGTATTTAGATTGCTCTTCCTTCTTTTCTTCTCTTCAGTCATTTTTATTATTTGTCCAAGACTGGAGGAGATTAATTAATAGCTTATTGACATGTATGTAACATGTTCACCCATGTAATTTTATGAGTTCTAACAATAGAACCACTTAGTTATATTAAGAATAATATTTTAAGACTAATACATGGTAGAGTGCATACTATTATGGCAGAGATACACTAAAGGATCAATTAAACATGAAGTATATAGCCTAGACTTAGCATAGCACCTTGTATTTGCGATATAGGAGATCTTAGTATTTAACATGCCAAGTGTTGCACTACTGAACCTTTGAAACCTGAATTTATTAAAGAGATTGATTCATTATTGATTAATGTTCATGATTTATGATATGTTACTCTTGTTTATCTGACAGTTAACAAGAGATACATCATATTGAAAAGAAAGATACTAAGTCCAAATATCCTACAGAGGATCAGCTGAAGAAATATAGTTCTCTTACTAATAATTATTATCTGAGATAAAATAACATTGTATGATAACAATGAGACTGTCACTATTTGCTAGAAAGGTAGTGTAGCATTACTATTAATTCTGTGGTGATGAGTCTGCCAGCACTGTATGCTCATAATTTCATGAATCTAACTGGATCCAAAAGAATTTTCACTATAACTTGCCAGCTATCTTGACTTGTCATTCTCATCTCAAAACTTCACCACAGAACTTTGCTACAGCTTGCTAGCTGATCTCCTGGAAGTTAGATACTTTAGCTAACTTTTAAGAAATCTCAAAAGTTTGCTACAAGTTACTGTTATCTCTTAATTTGTCAGTTACCTTTTGAAACTAGCTAACTTTTGGTAATAGAACTTCACTAGACCTTTTTAGCTATCTTTTACTTGCTATCATCAAAACTTTGACCACCTACTAGTGTACAACAGGAGAGAACTTTGAACATTCATGGTTAGAATTTTCTCTTTCTCTAAAAGCTTGCAATCAGAGCTTTTCTCTTTTACATCAAACAAAACTCACAGCTAGAGCTTCTATTCATCTATTCTTCACTTACACTCAGTGCAAAACACTCCAGAACCTTGCTTGCTACTAGGCTCTCTTTTTCATGTGTTATCAAAGTATTTTTACAAAAACTTCACTTAACACAACTTTGCTTACACATAGAGCAACTCTTGCAGAGCAGCACTCTTCTCACAACCAGAGAAGTACCTTTGCACACTTTCTTTGCTAGAGCTAATAAAAAGTTTGCTACTAGAATCCTACTTGCCTCATTAAAGAACACAGTTTTCTTTACTTGCATATAGAGCTTCATCTTTTTTTGCTCATCCATAGAGCAACCATTTTTATTAGACCCAAATGTTATACAAGTCAAACTTGTGATAAACCAGTGCTGTATCATGTTTGTACAGTCACACTAGAGTCCATCTGTTGTGTTCTACTCATTGTGAGGATCAAGGCTTTTGCAAGCAGGCTCAAGAGTGAATGGTGTAGAATAAACTTTAGCTTGAAGCTGGAGCTACTACAGTCAGAGCTTTGCTACTTATATACATTTTGGTCTGTGATAAATACAGTTGCCTCTATTATGGCTTTCCATAAGTTGGAACTAAAGAGTGTGTTGTAAGTATGTGAAACAATATAATTTATGTATTGTTGAGATATCTGTCACAAGTTGCAGTACAATGGTGCAAGTCATCTGTTGTGGGCATGGTTACCAGTCCAGCCAGATAGATAATGGATAAGTGCCTGTGATTAGATAGGCACATGATAAAATAAAATAAGTGGAAAAATTGTAACAACTCTTCTCACAACTAGAAAAGTATCTTTGCACACTTTTTTCACTAGGGCTAACAAAAAGATTGCTACTAAAGCCTTACTTGCCTCATCAAAGAACACAGTTTTATTTGCTTGCATATAGAGCAACCAGTTTTTTCACTTGCATGTAGACCATCTTTTTGTGCTCATCTATGAAGCAACTGTTTTCCTCACTGATCTATAGAGCCACTACAGATCTTTAGTTGCATATAGAGCAACAGCATAATAGTTTGCAACTAGAAGAACTAAAGCTATATTACCTTGACTAGATTTTACAGCACACCTAGGCAGCCTCATTTCTTATTTCATCCCATATTGCCTCTTTGTTTCCTACTGGGAGAGGATAGCAAAGTACTCTTATAGATTCTGCACTACTAACAGAATCAAACTACTTGAGGTTTTTTCTGCTACTCTCACAGGATGAATTAGTCACTGCACAGAGGTGCATGACTAGACTCATATAGATCAGCTTTTAGATTCTGTGTTGATTAGCACTTGTTCTTAGGTTTTATATTTGCTATCCACAGGAGTCTCTAGATTTATCAATGGGGCCAATTGGAAGCCATCTCAGATGTGACATGAGAGACTAGATCTCAGTAAATGAAATATAATAACAGGATGATATGCTCCAGATTCAGGTGCTGAGTAAAAATCCAAATACTTATCACTATAGATTGCATGACATGCATATAATTGGAGTCCAGATCATAGTAATACTATATCCAGTAATTATATTTTACATAGTTAGCAGTGGATGTAGACAAAGAGCTTTCAGAACTCTGCAGTTGCAATGCTAGCCTGAGAAGCAAACATTTAAAACTAAAGAACTCTGTTTGGAGCTTTGAGCAAGAGAATCATTAGACTCAAGCATCATGTGAACCAATTACATATGATAAGTGATCACTACCTTGCACTTCAAGTAAAGCGATCAAGTCCACTGATATGTAATTAGAACAGTGTGTCACAAGGCCTGAGGAATCAGCTCAAGGGTAGAATGAAGTGGAATAAACTTTAGCTCAAAGCTGGAGATCACCAGCAAGAGTGAGTGGTCTTAAATACTGTATAAGGTTTGCTAATAATATTACAGCTAATTGTGTG